TCCTGGAAGTTACAGTTTTACAAGGTCTTTACCCTTCTCTGCCCAAAAGAGCTGCTGCCTTGCCAAACTAACATTGAGCCATTGCAGTTAAAGTGGGATCAAACTGCATTCATTCTACAGTGTAAATGCACAGGAAGGAGGGAGGGAGAGAATGAAGGATGAAAGGGAGGAAGGATGGAAGGACAAAAGGAAGGAAGGGAGGAAAGAAGGATGGATGGAAGGAAAGACGGAATGAAGAAAGGAAGGAAGGGAGGGAGGGAGGAAAGAAAGAAAGAAAGAGAAAGAAAGAAAGATGGATGGATGGATGGATGGATGGAAAGACAGAAGGAAAGAAGGAAGGAAGGAAGGAAGGAAGGAAGGAAGGAAGGAAGGAAGGAAGGAAGGAAGGACGAAAGGAAGGAAGGAAAGAAGGGAGAAAAAAAGGAAGGAAAGAAGGATGGAAAGAAGGATGAAAGGAAGAAATGAAGGAAGGATAGAAGGATGGATGGAAGGAAGGAAGGAAGAACGGAAGGAAGGATGGAAAGAAGGACAAAAGGAAGGAATGAAGGAAGGAAGGATAGAAGGATGGATGGAAGGAAGGAAGAACGGAAGAAGGGTGGAAGAGAGGGAGGGAGAAAGGAAGGAAGGAAGGAAGGAAGAAAGGAAAGAAGGAAGGGAGAAAAGAAAGGAAGGACAAAAGGAAAGGAGGAAAGAAAGAAAGAAAGAAAGAAAGAAAGAAAGAAAGAAAGAAAGAAAGAAAGAAGAATGGAAAGAAGGACAAAAGGGAGGGAGGGAGGGAGGGAGGGAGGGAGGAAGGAAGGAAGGAAGGAAGGAAGGAAGGAAGGAAAGAAGGATGTATGGATGGATGGATGCATGGAAAGACGGAAGGAAGGAAGGAAGGAAGGAAGGAAGGAAGGAAGGAAGGAAGGAAGGAAGGACGAAACGAAGGAAGGAAGGAAGGATAGAAGGATGGATGGAAGGAAGAATGGAAGGAAGGATGGAAGAGAAGAAGGGAGGAAGGAAGGAAAGAAGGATGAAAATAAGGACAAAAGGAAGGAAGGAAGGAAGGAAGGAAGGAAGGAAGGAAGGAAGGAAGGAAGGAAGGAAGGAAGGTCTCCACTATTCATGGCGTGCATTGAAAGCAAAAGCCAAAAACATACATACATACAGTAAACACATACTGTATGTATGCATGCATGTACAGTGGGCTCTTGGTTTCTCCAGGGATTTGGTTCTAAGTCCCATAAAGATACCAAAATCCATGGATGTTCAGCGCCCATTGTATGCAATGGCATAGTGGCTCAATGCTATATGTAATCCCTGGAGTTGTAGTTTGGTGACGTCCTAGCACTCTTGGGCACCGAAGGCTGCAGAACTTTGCAAAACTATAACTACCAGGATTCCATAGCATTGAGGCTTGGTTAAAGTGGTGTTAAACCACATTCATTCTGCAGTGTAGATGCACCGTAAGTGAGATTTGCAACCCACTTGTGAAGCAAAGGATGACGGAGACAGGGCTGCTGGTCTGTTATCGACGAGAGAAACCATGGAGATGGATCTTCTGCCATGAAACTGCAAAGTAGAAAAGGAGGGATTTAATTGTGTCTCCTTGCATTTAAAGGGTTGGACTGGATGGCCTTTGGGGGTCTCTTCCAACTCTAGGATTCTATGGGCAGCAGAGCTAGATTTCACTGTCTACGTATCTCCCATTGAATGTTGGGAGAACCCAAGTGCTATATTTAGTGGAGGAGAGATGCCCACTATTGTCAACATGGAGTTGTTTAGGCCAATGACAACAGATTATTATAATTCTTATTGTACGCCAGCAAAACATAACAGCTTTTGCATTAGCTGAGAATTCAGGTGGCTCCTTGGCATAAATATATTTGTGATGGGTCTACCAGAAATTCTCATTGTGCTAATGGTAATAAAAATTAATAATAACAATACTACTACTACTAATAAATTAATGATAATAATAATAATTAATAATTAGTAATAATAATTAATAAAACTGTACCAAAATTTGAAATATTTAATAATAATAATAATAAGAAGAAGAAGAAGAAGAACACTATGTAACAAAATATGAAAAAAATGCAGTTCCTGCCTTGAAAGCGTTATTTCCTGTTTAATTGTGCGGTCCTTATTTTGAAAGTAGTTGTTCTACTTCAGAAACTTTGTTTTTGTGGCACAAACCGTTGAATTGGTTAAGACTCAATTTGATAATCATTGACAAACAATAGTAAAATATTATGCAAGATGTCTCACAAAAAACAAAGTTTTTGAAGTTTGATAAACTTTTTCCATGTTTTTATGATACAATGAGGAAATGACTTTATGATACAAGCAATGAGGAAATGACTTTATGATACAAGCATTAGGAAGGTCTGGGCTTTAGCACAGGTGGTAAATCTGGTAAAATACCTCTGTCGCTTTTTAGGGGTACCTAAATAACCAATAAGATCTACCAACCGAAAGGTTGCTAGTTCGAAGCCCTGGGGTGGGGTAAGCTCTCAACTGTCAGCCCAAATCACTGTTTACCTAAGGAGTTCGAAAACAGCTTGAGCTGTAAGTAGAGAAATTAGGTATTGCTAAAAAGCGGGGGAGGTATTTTATGACACCATAAAACAAAAAGATCAGAAAATGCCAAATGGAAGGAGGAAGTCTTGATGGCTTTTTGTCATAGAGGATGGAGCGACAGCACCCCCTTGTGGCTGAATTCAAGCACAACTTCCAAGGCGCCAAAAAGCTGGACGTCGACACAACATACCTCTGTCTGTTCTGTCCTTGGGTGTCCAAACGGCATTGAATGTTTGCTGTGTATGTGTACTGTGATCTGCCTCGAGTCCCCATGGGGAGATATTAATATTAACAACAACAACAACAACAACAACAACAACACTTTATTTATAACCCACCCTTCTCACCCTAAAGGGGACTCAGGGCGGATCACAGTACACATACACCACAAACATTCAACGCCATTTTGTATATACAATACAGAGACAGACAGAACAGAAGGAGGTGTGTTGTTTCACCTCAATGTCCATTTTTTTGGTGCCATAGAAGGTTTGGCTCGAATCCAGCCACAGGGGGTGCTGTCTCTGCATCCTCTATGATGGAGAGCTATCAGGACTTCCCCCTTCCTTTTTGTTGCCCAGCATTTTATGATCTTCTTTCTTTATGGCATCAGTACCTAAAAAACTGGGTGACTTGGAAGGCTCTGAACAGGCTGTGCTCTGGCACCACCAGACGCAGAGCCAACCTTAAGAAATGGGGCCACAAAGTGGAGCCCACGACATGCGAGTGCGGAGAAGAGCAAACCACAGACCACCAACTACAATGCAGCCTCAGCCCTGCCACATGCACAATGGAGGACCTTCTTATAGCAACACTAGAGGCACTCCAAGTGGCCAGATACTGGTCAAAGGACATTTAATAGAATGCCAAGTTTGAAAACTTTGTGTGTGTGTGTGTGTGTGTTTAATACAATACAACTGTTTGGTTAGCTCCTGGCATGTTAAATAAATAAATAAAGCGGTACCTAATTTCTCTAATTGCAGCTAAAGCTGTTTTCGAACTGCTTAGATCAACAGTAAGTGGGGCTGACAGTCTGCAGCTCACGCTGACCCAGGGCTTCGAACTGACAACCTTTCAGTTGATAGATCTTATAATTGCTGGTGACCTACCAGCTGTGTGGAATATAGATGTAAATAAAGTGTTGTTGTTGTTGTTGTTGTTATTATTATTATTATTATTATTATTATTATTAGAAACACAACAAGATGAATCCACAGCAAACAAGATCACTCTGCTGGCTGTTGTACTGGATCACACGTCAGACACTTCCCAAGTGTCTAGGACTGTGTTGTATCAGCGAATAATGTGTGCAGATCCCAGTAAGGTGGCCTTTTGCAGCTGGCAGATGGTAATCTTGTCAGCGCCAATTGTGTTTAAGTGCAGGCCAAGGTCTTTAGGCACTGCACCCTGTGTGCCGATCACCACTGGGACCACCTTTACTGGCTTGTGCCAGAGTCTTTGCACAAGACTTATTATTATTATTATTATTGACACAAAAGCACAGTATGTCACAGCAAACGAGATCTATATGCTTGATTTCGTATCACAAGTCGAACACTTCCCAAGCATCTAGGACTGTGTGATGTATTTTTGAATGATGCGTGCAGATCCAAGGTGGCCTTTTGCAGTTGACAGATTGTGATTTTGTCGATGTTTATTGTTTCCAAATGCCAGCTGAGATCTTTTGGCACGGCACCTAGTGCGCCAATGACCACTGGGACCACCAGTACTGGTTTATGCCAGAGCTTTTGCAGTTCGATTTTGAGGTCTTGATAACGGCTGAGTTTTTCCTGTTGTTTTTCCTCAATGCGACTGTCACCCGGTAGGGCAACATCAATAATCCAAACTTATTATTATTATTATTATTATTATTAATAATAATAATAATAATAATAATAAACTAGGAACAAAATAGTGTTACATATTGTAATTAATTATTAGTAATAACAACAACAATAAATAAGTGTTTGCAGTTTAATACTCTTTTTTTTATAGAACTAATGACATTTATAACCCAGGAACAAAATCATATTATATGGTGTCATTATAATAATAATAATTATAATGATTATAATAATATTATAATGATAATAATATTATTATAATGATAATAATGATGATGATGATGATAATTTATTTATTACCTCACTCTCCTTTCTGCTTGACGTGGAGTACCATACTAAAATTATACTGAAACATAATTAATATGTCGGTCTCGTCTCATTCTAAACCGTCTTTCCTTCTCGTGGAAAGGATTTTCGGTCCCTAAAGTTTGAGATTCTTTGATCCAGATCTGGATCAAGATCCAGATCCAGATTTGGTCCAATCAATGGAAGGGCTGCATGGCACCTCCTCCCTCCAAGACCTGGACCAAAACCATGGGCCATGTGATCCTAACCCTTGCAATAAATCCCACTTTAATGCCATTGTTTACCTGCTTAAGCCCAGAAAACGGGGACGTGGCTGCAGAGGATGTTCAGCGTGGTCCCTAAGTTGGATCGATCCACCAAAGAGGTCAGGTTCATGCTTTCCTCCTTCTGTGGATGAAACGGAAGACAAGAGTGATGGGATGAATCTTATGGAGTGGGGTTGAGAGTTGTGCAAATCCCACCATTTCTTACCAGTGGATGATGGGAGTCATGGTCCAATAACACAAAGCCAACCCATTATAATACAATCTTTTCATCAGACCTAGAGCAGAACTTTCCAAACTTTGGGGCCAAGCTTTTGAGCCTCTTTTCGTGACATGGTCATTCAGTTTCATTGGAAAACCGGTGGTCAAATCATCACCTTATAAAAGCTTCATACAATACCCCAGAAGACAGGAGCAGAATTCAAAATGTCTAGATCCAGGGAAGTCATGCCACCCATGCTCTATTCTATTCTGCCTTGGTCAGACCTCATCTGGAATATGTGTCCAATTCTGGGCACCACAACTGAAGGTGTTGACCCTAAGCTGGAATGTGTCCAGAGGAGGGCAACTCAAAGGATCAAAGGTCTGTATAACAAGCCCTATGAAGAGCGGCTAAAAGAGCTGGACATGTTTAACTTGCAGAAGTGAAGGCTGAAGGGAGACAAGGGATCAAGGTGTGAGGGAAAGTCATAGGGAGTAGGAGAAGGCCTGTTTTCTGCTGCCCTGGAGACTAGAACACAGAACAATGGCTTCAAACATTGCTGCCCTGGAGACTAGAACACAGAACAATGGCTTCAAACAACAGAAAAGAAGATTCCACCTGAACATGAGGAAGAACTTTCTGACTGTGAGAGCTGTTCAGCAGTGGAATTCTCTGCCCCAGAGTGTGGTGAAGGCTCCTTCTTTGGAGGCTTTGAAGCAGAGGCTGGCCATCTGTTGGGGTGTTTTAAATGCGATTTTCCTGCTTCTTGACAGAATGGGATTGGACTGGATGATGGCCCGCCAGGTCTCTTCCAACTCTAGGATTCTATAATTCTATATCTCGATCTGTCTATCTCTATATTATCTCTATCTCTCTATTATCTTTCTATTATCTCTATCTCTATTTCTCTATCGCTCGATCTCTCTATTATCTCTATTTCCCCTTCTCTCTCTCTCTCTCTGTCTACCTATCTCTCTCGATCTTCCTATTATCTCTATCTCTATATATCTATGTCTCTGTTTATCTCTCTCTCTGTATCTACCTATCTCTCTCTATTTCTCTATTATCTCCTCCCCTCTATCTATCTATCTATCTATCTATCTATCTATCTATCTATCTATCTATCTATCTATCCATCCATCCATCCATCCATCCATCATACCTATCTCTCTCTCTCTCTCTGTGTGTCTCTACCTATCTCTCTCCATCTCTATTATCTCTCTCTCTCTCTACCTATATCTATGATCTCTCTCTTATCTCTCTCTCTATTCTCTCTCTCTCTCTCTATGATCTCTCTCTCTGTCTACTCATCTCAATCTCTATTCTCTCTCTCGCTACCTATTTCTCTCTCTCTCTTTCTATGATCTCTCTCTCTCTGTTTACATCTCTCTCTCTTCATTAGAAAATGATCCATTTTAGTGGTAACAACTGTGTGAAGAATGTGGGCCTGGCGAAGCCTGTCGGCCTGAACAGTTAGAATCTGGGCCTAGCAAAGCCCTGGCAGCCATCTTTGGATAGGGAAACAGGGAGACACCATCTTAAGCCAGGTTTTCTTAGAGGGGGCGTGTCCTAGTCCAGTAAGCAAAGAGTGGATGGCCAGGATTGGTTAGGAATAGGGGGCGGAGTCTAATATTCAAATAGAGAAAAAAGTGTACTTTTTGACTTTGAGGCTTGAGTTTTGGCAGTTGGGATTTGTCAATTGGGAGTTAGGTAGTCGGTTGGTGTTCACAGTTGGATAGTGCTAGATAGGAGAACTGGGTTAATCTTTTGTAGTATTCAAGGGCTAGAGGAATCAGCCAGGAATACTGACAGTGGGAACAGGACCTTGCTTATGGTCTGTTTCTTTTAATTCCTGAGGAAAACTAGGCCAAGGTTGTTTGGCTAGATTCCAGAAAGTGGGAATTTGGTTTGGAATTATCATCAGAGATTAATTTCCTGAGATAATCTCCTGTTTTGTTAATTCCAGATTTAAACCCAGTACCCATCTAAGAATTGTACATCAAACGTAACAAAAAGCTTTAGTGCCATTAACTTACAGAAACCATTACGCATTTGTACCAGAAGAGTTTAAGCCTGTTAAATAAACGTTTTATTATAGTCAATGCATTACAACAGCCTGTGTGTGAACGTCATTGGTATTTAAACCCTCTGAGGACAATAAATACCATAGTAACACAGAAGGGTGTTACTAAGTATCCTCTCCACACATATAACTAAGCCTGAATACTAAGCAATAAGGTGGCAGCATACCCCAGTTGAAGAAACAGTTACAAAACCTCTTAATTCAGACGTCATTCAAATATAGCACAGTTATATCTTTCCCTGTTTTATCAATTCCCCCCTGTGATATTCCTTATAAAAGGTTGGTAGCTTGTGGGATTCACATTTTCAGAATTCCCTGTTCTCTCTCCCTGCTAAAAGAAGACCCTTGGTGTGATCCTTCCTTGGATAACCCTTATAAACTGCAACTCAATTAACAAATGGTTCAGTTCCTACACTTGAACAGTGGATGGCTTTGACTGTGTTTTTCTGCCTGGCTGTTGAAGGTTGGACTAGATGCCCTTTAGGGATACCTTCAAACTCTAAATTAAGTATGGACTGCCTGGGAGTCCAGTGGATTTTCCTTCTCTGGAGGTGAGGTTGGCTGGCCATCTGTCGGGAGGGCTTTGACTGTGGCTTCCTGCATGGCTGATGGAGGTTGTACGGCTTCTTTCCAAGCAAGAAAAAAAAAACCCCAGAGTGGATTCACTTCATCATCCACTTGAGTGGCATTTACTTGTTGCAACTCAATCAACAAATTGCGCCAATTATAAAAAATTATAACAAGACCTGGACTCGAACAGCACCAGCTTTTGTTTGGAAAGCATGACCTAGAGATTTTCCCAAAGTTGGCTCCATAAGGGATGGTGCTCTTACCTGGAATCCCTTGTAAGCAGCATCCAGACCTTGAACGTTCTCCTTATCCATCTTTGTGAGGAAGCAGGCTGCTCCATGCCAAGGTTTATAACCAATGAGGAGCTGTGTATAAAGAAAGAGCATGAGCTTGCATTTAGCATGGATCAAACTTGGCATGGATACTCAATATACCCAAATATGAACACTGATGGAGTTTGAGGAAAATAGACCTTGACATTTGGGAGTTGTAGTTGCTGGGATTTATAGTTCACCTACAGTCAAAGAGAATTCTGAACCCCACCAACGATGGAATTGAACTAAACTTGGCACACAGAACTCCCATGACCAACAGAAAATACTGGAAGGGTTTGGTGGGAGTTTTGGACTTGTAGTTCACCTACATCCAGAGAGCACTGTGGACTCAAACAATGATGGATCTGGATCAAACTTGGCATGGATACTCAATATACCCAAATATGAACACTGATGGAGTTTGAGGAAAATAGACCTTGACCCTTGACATTTGGGAGTTGTAGTTGCTGGGATTTATAGTTCACCTACAGTCAAAGAGAATTCTGAACCCCACCAATGATGGAATTGGGCCAAACTTCCCGCACAGAACCCCCATGACCGTCAGAAAATGCTATGTTTTCTGATGGTCTTTGGCAACTCCTTTGACACCCCCTCATGCCACCCCCCCCCCCATGTTGAGAAATGCTGGTCTAAAAGACCTTGCAAAGCCACAACTCCCAGAGATCCCATTGCAGTGCAAGCAGAGTCTGAACTGCATTCCTATAACAGAGACTTGGATATTTTTGGAAAACCCAGAATGGATTTACCATAGTTTACAATAGTTCAGCTTCAACACCCAAAAGAGGGCCTTTTTAAAAACTCTATGATCCACAAATCCTCAGACACCACAACCACAAGACTGCTTAGTTGTTATACGTTTTTCTACATTGCTTCTCACCTTGCCAAAGTCATAAATGATTGCTGCGGGACCACGGATCCCATTGTCCACTTCGAAAGTGGCCACTTCTTCTGTGTCGGTGGGCAGATTTAGCCACGAGTCATCTCCTCCATGGCCTTCAATAGTCATTTGCAAAACCTAGGAGTGATATCCATAAATCAGGCCCTATGATTCTATGGTTATATGGTGCAACCTCCCTGTTTTTTACCAAGCTGGTGTGGTGTTTCAAGTAAGAGGTGTTCTGGCTCTGGAGTACAACAAAATACACAAAACGATCTATGTCAGGGAAAAAAATACTCAAGGAGCATAAAAGAGAGAGCAGAAGAGAGTTCAAATGGCAGTAGTATCCAAATGATGATGGAGATTAGCTCTCAAGAGAAATCTTTGTAAGGAGAATCCTACAGGGATGCCCGGGTAATATTATATACCCTGTTTCGGGGACAAATTGTATATTATATACCGAAACAGGGTATATAATATTACTCGGGCATCCCTGTAGGATTTTCCCTACGAAGATTTCTCTTGAGAGCTAATGTTGTAATAGAGTCTGTAAGTAATGTTGCAAGTAGTAGTATGGGTGCCAGAAGGGAAAAAAGGGTTACTCATGAGCCAGAGTCTGATGCGGAACAACAGAGGAAAAGGATTCGGGATATACTTATGGCATCTACAGATGAGGACTCATTTGAAGGGTTCTCTGGGGATGAAGGGTCAATGAGTGAAGGAGAGGAGGGAGATGCAATGGATGGAAATAGAAGAAGAAAGAGGGTTACTCGGGAGCAGGAATTGGATGAGGAGCGACAAAGGAAGAGGATACGGGATATACTTATGGCACCCACAGATGGGGAAAATGGGGACGACACTGTGGATTGGACTAAGGTAAAGGAAGTGCAAGCTGTTTGTGCAGAACCAACATCTAGTGATACATTTGTGGGGTTCTCTGGAAGTGAAGACTGGCAATTGGGGAATACAGCTGAGTCTTGGGGGGATCTAAGTCTTGACAGGAGATGGAGAAGATGGAGGGATTGGCGTAGGACTTCACGTGAAGAGTTGGGAACAGCCGCAAGGGATGATAATGGGGTTGTGGTCAGTTCATCTTCTTCTGATGATGATGTGTAATAAAAGTGGGTTCAGAAATGGGGAATCTTTGCAGAAGGCAAGGTGTTGGTATACGTTCGTGCATTGCGTACTGTCTGGACTTGTCGCTGCCTGTTCCATGTTCGGCTTTGGGTTTGGGATCTGCACGTTGCTGCTCCTGTTCGTGTGTGCTTTCGACTCGGCTTGGATTCTTGTGAGTGTGGATTTCCCCCTTCCTTGACCTTGGACCGGCTTGACTACGACGCTGCTTCTGTGGATTTTGGAAATTCGCTACTTCGGATTCTGCTTGCTACGACCCTGGACTTTGTTTGACTATGCTTTATTCCCTGCAGCTTCTCTGTTTTGTTAACCATTTGCATGCTGTGCTTTTTGTGACCTTGGAGTACTGTGTTTGAATCGGTTCTTTTTTCCGGAGAATCCGGATTATACTTTGGGTTACTCTTTTGAACCAGGACTGGTTTTACCTTTGAGTTTTGGCCAGAGGCACTGAGTTATGTGTCTCCAAGTCTTTTACTTTGCTTTAATAAACTCTGTTTTTGGAACTAATTCTGAGTCTGGCCCTTTAAGGCGTCTGTGTTCCGACAGCTAAGCTCCATTATCATTTGGATACTACTGCCATTTGAACTCTCTTCTGGATTGTGGACTTTATGACTTTATGATTTGAAATTTGTATTGCATATGCTTCCCTAAAACCTGTATATATTGGGATCTTACAACTGTAATGTCTGAGAGTGGATGCTCCTTTATAATTTACTTTATATGATTGTATTACAATTATTATGTCTGAGAGCAGTTGCTCCTTTTCATTTCACTCTATATGAATACATTGAATTACACTGAACTATATAATGAATATCATATATTTTATACTCCTTGAGTATTTTTTCCTGACATAGATCATTTTGTGTATTTTGAAAAGAAATGCCACCACCCCCTTAATTTTGGAATGAGTTTTGAAACATTTTTTTTCATGGATGGTACACAGCCCTAATGCACACAGACTCACCGCCTGGGTGTGGCCCTGGGTGACGAAGAGCCCCATGAGGAGGACGGCCACAATGATGACCACCACCACGACCACCACAATGAGGATGATCAGGAAGCGCTTGATGTTGATGGGGCAGCTGGGCAGCTGGGGCAGGCGGCAGAGGAGCTTGGGCAAGGAGCAGAGCAGCCGGCAGCAGCCGCCACCACAACAGGGGCAGCAGCAGCATCCAGGGCAGGATCCGCATCCAGGGCAGCACCCTCCGAGGCCAGGCAGGGGCAGTGGGAAGCTCTCGCAGCAGCCACAACAGTCGCAGCAGCCGCAGCAGCCGCCGCAGCAAGGACAACAGCCAGGTTCGGGAGGCAATGGGGGAAGATGTTCCTGTGGAAGGACGAAAAGGGAGTTGTAGTTTGTGGAAGCACCAGCCCTCTTGGGCAGAGAAGACCCCAGGCCTTGTCATGTTTTAGCTTCCAGCCTCTGTTTCAGTGGTTCTCAACCTTTCGAATGCTGCTTCATAATTGTATTTTTGCTACTGTTATGAATCATAATGTAAATATCTGATATGCAGGATGTATTTTCATTCACAGGATCAAATTTGGCACAAATTTGAATACTGATGGGGTTGGGGGATTGCTTTTGTCATTTGGGAGTTGTAGTTGCTGGGATTTATAGTTAACCTACAATCGAAAAGCATTCTGAACTCCATCAACAATGGAATTGACCCAAACTTGGCACTCAGAACTCCCATGACCATGAAAATACTAGAATTGTTTGGTGGGCATTGACCTTGAGTTTTGGAGTTGTAGTTCCCCTACATCCAGAGAGCACTGTGGACTCAAATAATAATGATGGATTAGACCAAACTTGGCATGAACACTCAATATGCCCAAATGTGAACACTGGTGCAGCTTGGAGAAAATAGACCTTGACACTTGGGAGTTGTAGGATTTATTACAAAACCGCCTGAGCTTTGCGAGTGCAGCATTTTTCTGAATGAAGCAGAGTGTTTGAGGACCGGGACATCTATAGGGATACCAAGGTGCTTGTTTATAAAGCTATTGTCCTCCCAACCCTGCTCTATGCCTGCAAAACGTGGACTGTCTACAGACGTCACATGCAACTCCTGGAACGATTCCATCAGCGCTGCCTCCGGAAAATCCTGCAAATCTCTTGGGAAGACAAGCAGACAAACGTCAGCGTGCTGGAAGAAGCAAAGACCACCAGCATTGAAGCAATGGTCCTCCAACATCAACTCCGCTAGACCGGCCACGTTGTCCGGATGCCTGACCACCGTCTCCCAAGGCAGTTGCTCTACTCCGAACTCAAGAACGGAAAACGGAATGTTGGTGGGCAGGAAAAGAGATTTAAAGATGGGCTCAAAGCCAACCTTTAAAATTCTGGCATAGACACTGAGAACTGGGAAGCCCTGGCCCTTGAGCGCTCCAACTAGAAGTCAGCTGTGACCAGCACAGCTGCAGAATTTGAAGAGGCACGAATGGAGAGTGAAATAAAGAAACATGCCAAGAGGAAGGCTCATCAAGCCAACCCCGACCGAGGCCGCCTTCCACCTGGAAACCAATGCCCTCACTGCGGGAGAAGATGCAGGTCAAGAATAGGGCTCCACAGTCACCTACGGACCCACAAGAATCCTGGAAGACTATCCCAGTCGACCAACGAGGGATCGCCTAAGTAAGTAAGTGTAGGATTTATAGTTCACCTACAATCAAAGAGCATTCTGAACCCCACCAGCGATGGAATTGAGCCAAGCTCCCATGACCAACAGAAAATACTTGAACTATAAATCCCCACAACTACAACTCCCAAATGACGAAATCAATCCCCACCCGACCCCACCAGTATTTAAAAATGGGTGTATCAAATATTTGTGCCAAATGTGGTCCAGAGAATGAAAATACATCCTACATATCAGATATTTACAATACGATTCACAACAGGAGCAAAATGACAGTTATGAACTAGCAATGAAAATAATTTTATGGTTGGAGGTCACCACAACATGAAGAACTGTATTCAGGGGTCGTGGCATTAGGAAGGTTGAGAAACACTGTCCTAAACTGAGGCTGGGAAAGCCCTTGGATCCCAAGTCTTTTCATTGAAGACTGTGCCATAATGAGATCTTTTGCATATGGATACATATGGAGGCAACCCTTGGATGTCACTTCTATTTTGAGACACTTCTATTTTGACTAAATGGAGAACTAATGCTTTTTAATATGGGGAAAATGGAGAAAGGGAAACCTTGTCTGGAGACGGCGAAAGACTCACCAGTGATGGTTCTGGAATCAGCTTCTGCTTCGTGACCGTTTCCATCTCCACCTCCATCTCCTCTCCTTTCTCCATCGTGTTGCCGTCCTTCTGGCCTTGCTACCAACCAGGTCCCTAAATGCAGGTGTTTCATATATATATATATATATATATATATATATATATATATATATATTCCAGAAACGTGACCATGAAACCCCGTGGATGTAGTTTCTACTTGGCTCATTGCCTTCTGGCCAGAAACCATTGAGATGCCCTTTAGCTCTCTTGTTCCCTTCTCAAGATGTCCTGACTCTAAGGACATTTGTCCCCATAACAAAAAGCCTTCTTGACCTGAGGTTGGCAAATATAGTCACCTGAGAGCACTTAGAATGGGTCCTTAGAAGAGGAACTCCTTGGATGAAGAACATGACCTCCTTGAGAATCAATCTCTTTTTGCATAAACCATGAAGCCAGCCAGACATTTTCGTAATTTGGCATTGCACCAGACCCTTTGGAAAAGACTTAGTTATTCCTTGGAAAAATCCAATGTTAAAGACTGGAGGCTTAATCCATTTGATGCAGGTTTAAGTCAATTTAAAACCAGGTCCCATCTACACTGCTATATAATCATCTGCTTTGAACCTGATTATAGAAATCTATATTGCCATATAATCAGAAATATAATCCAGCCTTGTTTAAGGGAGCTGGCATGATTTAGCCGTTAGCCAGCTTGGTCAAGGGATAAAAGCGAGATGATGATGATGATAATAATAATAATAATAATAATAATAATAATAATAATTTATTATAACAACAACAACAGGAAAAACCCGGCCCCTATCAAGACCTCAAAATCGAACTGCAAAGGTGGTCCCAGTAGTCACTGGTGTACTGGGTGCCGTGCCAAAAGATCTCAGTTGGCATTTGGAAACAATCAACATCGACAAAATCACAATCTGTCAACTGCAAAAGGCCACCTTACTTGGATCTGCACTCATCATTCAAAAATACATCACACAGTCCAAGACGCTTGGGAAGTGTTCAACTTGTGATTTTGTGATACGAAATCCATCATATAGATCTCATTTGCTGTGACATACTGTGCTTTTGTGTCAGTAAAATATAATAATAATATTGGTCATCGAGGTTCTATGTGGGAAGTTTGGCCCAATTCTATCCTTGGTGGGGTTCAGAATGCTCTTTGATTGTAGGTGAACTATAAATCCTGGCAACTACAACTCCCAAATGTCTAGGTCTATTTTCCCCAAACTCCACCAGTGTTCACATTTGGGTATATTTAGTATTTGTGCCAAGTTTGGTCCAGCTCCATCATTGTTTGAATCCACAGTGCTCTCTGGATGTAGGTGAACTACAACTCCAAAATTCAAGGTCAATGCCCACCAAACCCTTCCAGTATTTTATTTTGGTCATGGGAGTTTTGTGTGTCAAGACTGGCTCAATTCCATCATTGGTGGAGTTAAGAATGCTCTTTGACTGTAGGTGATCTATAAATCCCAGTAACTAAAACTCCCAAATGACAAAATCAATCCTCCCCAACCCCACCAGTATTCAAATTTGAACATATCGGGTATTTGTGCCAAACTTGGTCCAGTGAATAAAAATACATCCTGCATATCAGATATTTACATTACAATTCATAACAGGAGCAAAATGACAGTTATGAAAGGAGCAACGAAGTAGCAATAATATTATGGTTGGGGGTCACCACAACATGAGGAACTGGATTCAGGGGTCGCGGCATTAGGAAGGTTGAGAATTATTATTATTATTATTATTATTATTATTATTATTATTATTAAACTTTATTTGTACCCCGCTAGCATCTCCCGAAGGACTCGATGCGGCTTACAAAGGCCAAGGCCACAATACAACAACAGCATAACAAAACAGCTCAAAGCAAAATCAAAACATAAAGCAATAACAGCAAAACATTACACCGTAACACAGTAAAAACTAGGACCGGGCCAAGTGATGGGTACAGAATTAAAAAGTGCTGGGTGTGACAGGTGGCATGTTGGATTTAAGGGCAAGTGCAATGTGCAGAGGATCTTAAAATTCTAATAAAGTGCTTCTGGGACATAATGCTGGAGTTTTCCTATTCCGGAAAGGCACATCGCAATAGCCAGGTCTTCAAGCTCTTCCTAAAGACTGCCAACGTGGGGGCTAGTCTGATGTCTTTGGGGAGGGTGTTCCAAAGTCAGGGGCAACCACAGAAAAGGCCCTGTCCCTCGTCCCCACCAAACGCGCCTGCGACACAGGAGGGATCGTGAGCAGGGCCTCTCCGGATGAACGAAGGGAACGTGTGGGCCATAGACGGAGATCTATAGGAGCAAAATGATAGTTATGAAGGAGCTACTGGTATAGCTGATGGGAAGCTAGCCTGCACCCTCATTTTAGAGATATCCAGCACAATTGGTGCCTTCCATGTCAACAAATCAACCACCTGCTTTGGGTTTTCATCTGAACTTTCCAAGACGCATCCAATGTGCAGAGCTACGGAGTTTCCAAACTTTCCATAGCTCCGTTAAAGGTTAAAATACAACCTGCAGTGACTTCACTGTCCCACCAACATGAAAGCTACCAGTGTCTATGGACTCTGACAGTTTAATAGCAGCTTCTCTTCCCATAACTTGGCTTTTCCCCTATGTTTTATAAGACGCCCCACTAAAAGCCATCCTTGCGGTGCATTCCTGGGGACCTGAAGAGCCATTTCCTCTCCAAGTTTCCTCCTCAAGGCTTTCAGAAGTATTTGCCCTCTTGAAACTAGAAGCCACTTTGATGGGGACGATGAGGTCCCTGTGTGTTCTTTTCCCACAGGTATCCCTTTTCAAGGCTGCTTTCAGCAGAACTAGCTTTTGGAGAGTGATATCAAAATAGACGTCACTGAGGAGGCCCTTGGCTGGCAGAAGAAGGTCCTTGCACAACCCCAGCTGTGCAAGCAAGACTTCTGCCCCATCCATCCTTCATCCAATGGCCTGTGTTGCCTTAGTTGCACCATGAAAGAATAACACGAGTTGGCAACTGAGTCCATTGGAATGGAGGAGGAGGGTGAGAAGAGGAGGAATAAGGAAATGAAGAAGGAGGAGGACAAGGAGAAGGAGAAGAAGAAAAAGGGAGGAGATGAAAGAAGGGAGGGAGAAGAAGAGGAGGAGAAAGAGATAGAGATGGAGTAGGAGGAGAAGAAGAAGGGGAGGAGATGAAAGAAGAGAGGGAGCAGAAGAAGAGAAAGAGATGGAGTAGAAGAAGAAGCAGAGGAGGAGATGAAAGAAGAGAGGGAGACGAAGAAGAGAAAGAGATAGAGATGGAGTAGGTTTGATTTTGTCATTTGGGAGTTGTAGTTGCTGCGATTTATAGTTCACCTACAACCAAAGAGCATTCCGAACTCCACCAACAATGAAATTGAACCAAACTTGACACACAGAACTTCCATGACCAACAGAAAATACTGTGGGAGGGCTTGGTGGGCATTGACCTTGAGTTTTGGAGTTGTAGTTCACCTACATCCAAAGAGCACTGTGGGCTCAAACAATGATGGATCTAGACCAAACATGGCATGAATACTCAATATGCCCAAATGTGATCATTGGCGGACTTTGGGGAAAATAGACCTTGATATTTATGAGTTGTGGTTGCTGGGATTTATAGTTCACTTACAATCAAAGAGCATTCGGAATCTCACAAATAATAGAATTGGATAAAACTTCCCACCGATAACCCTTATTTTTTTTTTTTGTCATGTCAGGAGTGACTCCTGGTGTGAGAGAATTAGCCGTCTGCAAGGACGTTGCCCAGGGGCCGCCTGGATGATTTGATGTTTTTATCATCCTTGTGGGAGGCTTATCTCATGTCCCCGCATGAGGAGCTGGAGCTGATAGAGGGAGCTCATCCGCCTCTCCTCGGATTCGAATCTGTGACCTGTCGGTCTTCAGTCCTGCCGGCACAGGGATTTAACCCACTGCGCCACCGGGGGCTCCTCCATGCCTTGAAGGGACTTGTTGGCATGAGCCTCCCTCCAGCCTCACATGCTCTCCCTCACACAGACATGCGCATCACACTGTCATGCACCGAGCATGCCTGCTCTCCTTTCCCCTGCTTGGAGTCTCAGAAACAGCCCTCCCCTTGGCTGAGAGGCCACCCAATCACAGTGGAGGACAGCTTTTGGTGAGAGGCTTCACCCTCTGTTTCCAAAAAGGAAGACAAGGAGAGGCGGAGAGATCTTCAGCCTTCTCTGCCAAAGAGGTTCCTAAGACCATCAGAAATATATGTTTCCTGATGGGTCTTTGGTGACCCCTCTGAAACCCCCTCGTGACCCTTCTAGGGGTCCTGACCCTCACTTTGGTGTAAGTGGACATGCCAGCCACAAACATGCATACATATATTCTCTTTTATTAGATAGATAGATAATTTGACTCCCATTGATCTAGGATCAGAATCATAGAATCATAGAGTTGGAAGAGACCTCATGGGCCATCCAGTCCAACCCCCTGCCAAGAAGCAGGGATATTGCACTCAAAGCACCCCCGACAGATGGACATCCAGCCTCTGTTTAAAAGCTTCCAAAGAAGGAGCTTCCACCACACTCTGGGGCAGAGAGTTCCACTGCTGAACGGCTCTCACAGTCAGGAAGTTCTTCCTCATGTTCAGATGGAATCTCCTCTCTTGTAGTTTGACGCCATTGTTCCGCGTCCTAATCTCCAGGGAAGCAGAAAACAAGCTTGCTCCCTCCTCCCTGTGACTTCCTCTCACATATTTATACATGGCTATCATATCTCCTCTCAGCCTTCTCTTCTTCAGGCTAAACATGCCCAGCTCTTTAAGCCGCTCCTCATAGGGCTTGTTCTCCAGACCCTTGATCATTTTCGTCACCCTCCTCTGGACACATTCCAGCTTCTCAATATCTCTCTTCAATCCAAAATGAATGCTTCTACACTTAGAAATAAAATGCTGAGACATAGGATATGGCTTGAAAACAGTATATGTGTGTTTATTGCAATATGGATACCCTTGGCTTGTACACAAGAACTCAAAATGTAATTTTGTATTACTTTATTATTATTATCATTATCATTATTAATATTATTATTTTACACATTTATTATTAGAGATTGAGCAAGCAGTGGATAAAAAAGAAAAGTAGGCCTGGATGAGATACGAGCTGCTGAATTTGAGCAAAGCTTAACATCCTTGCATATAGAAAGCAAATCAGATTTGTTTTAGATCATTGAATCATAGAATCATAGAATCAAAGAGTTGGAAGAGACCTCATGGGCCATCCAGTCCAACCCCCTGCCAAGTAGCAGGAATATTGCATTCAAATCACCCCTGACAGATGGCCATCGAGCCTCTGTTTAAAAGCTTCTAAAGAAGGAGCCTCCGCCTTCTTCCATTGCCTTGGATTTTTTATTGTTCTTACTCATCGCGTATTGGTTTTGCACGCAAGGCGCAAAGGTCAGATCCTTCTCTCACAAAAAATACAATGATTTTGTACACACATGAATGGCATTTTGCAAATATAACTGACGTAGGAAACGTTGAGTGTGTGTGGTTATTTTGTAAATAGAAGAAGATCCAAACCGAATGGATTGAACATTAGGAATGGCCTTATATGGCTCATGTGATAAGTGGAATCATCAACTGAGCTGAATGATTAAGCATGCAATAAAATAAAGAGCAAAGTATCCCCGGCCCATTGGATTAGATATTGGGAATATTTGCAATCGCATTCTCCAAGCCCTTTTCTGCATTTTGGGGACAAATTTCCTGTCCCTTAAATTGTGCCTATGGCAATCGATTCCAATACTCTCTGGAACATTATTTTTGTTCCTACGTTATAAATGTCATTTCCTAATTGGGTCTATCATAAAAATGTGGAAAATGTTTACTAAACTGCAAAAACGTTGTTTTTTGCAGAACATCCTGCCAAACATCTTTATATACAAAATCTCAGTCTGCATATTTTTGTGCTCGCAAAACTCAGAAAAAAAGTCATTTGATTGACTTGACATCTCGACATAACATTGCATTCCGATTTTATAATAAAATGATATTTTGACACAACGTTGCATTCGAATACACGCATGTATTTAGCATAAAACTAGCAGTCTGGGAATAGACAAAGTGGAATCTGTGATGCTCAAAGCAACCACTCACAGCCTAGCTTTCATTTTACCTCAGCAGCAAAAGAAATGAAAACTGAGCTCTAACAACCAAAGGCTGCACAGCTTTCCTTTTACCACAGCAGTTTTTTTTTGTCGTGTCAGGAATGACTGCAAGTTGCTCCTGGTGTGAGAGAATTGGCCTTCTGCAAGGACGTTGCCCAGGGGACGCCTGGATGATTTGATATTTTTATCATCCTTGTGGGAGGCTTCCCTCATGTCCCCATATGAGGAGCTAGAGCTGATAGAGGGAGCTCATCCGCCTCTCCCCGGATTCGAACCTGCAACCTATTGGCCTTCAGTCCTGCCGGCACAGGGGTTTAACCCACTCCGCCACTGGGGGCTCCACAGCAGTAAAGAACAACAACCTTTCACTGAGCTGCTTTCATTTCACCACAGCAGTAAAAGAAAAAACAACCAATCACAGCACAGCTTTCCTTTTACATCAGCAGTATAAGAATTACCAACTAATAACAGAGCAGCTGTCATTTCACCTCAGCAGTACAATAAATGACAGCTGAGCTGTGATTGGTTGCTATTGGCATATCACACATTCCGATCTTCGTGGCGTTTGAGTGGTAACGACTTCAATTTCCAATATGCCTTATGTTTGCTATGACTATCAATTAAGCGCAGGGGAAACCTTTGCAAGTGTGCGGTGTTTTCTCGGTAAATCTATGTTTGCAGCAATATTTTTATTTACTATCTCATTCATTTCATATCAGACAGAGCCACAGCAAACCGTGGTCAGGTTTAGCTAGTTTTTCTATAGTTTTTCAATGAGTATCTCAGTGAGTCTCAACCAATTTCATATATTGTCGAAGGCTTTCATGGCCGGAATCACTGGGTTGTTGTAGGTTTTTTCGGACTATATGGCCATGGTTTAGAGGCATTCTCTCCTGACGTTTCGCCTACATCTATGGCAAGCATCCTCACTACCTCTGAGGATGCTTGCCATAGATGCAGGTGAAACATCAGGAGAGAATGCCTCTAGACCATGGCCATATAGCCCGAAAAAAACTACAACAACCCAATTTCATATAATTTCCGGCAGCCTCAAAAACGAAGTTTCCTGCATAGAACATCTACTTTCAGAGTCAGGACTGTAAAATGAAACAGGAAACAACGTTTTCAAACCAGGAACGGAACATATTTTTCCCCAAATTTTGCTACATAGTGTTTATGATCCGCTCTTTTGTGGGATTTGAACTCAGCAATGGTTGCATGCTTCAGTGCTATGGAAACCCTTAGGAGTTGTAGTTTTGCAAGATTTCCAGCCTCCTCTGCCATAGAGGGCTGGTGCCTCTTGAAAAGACAACTCCCAGGGTCTCATAGCACTGAGTAGGACCAAACTGCATCAATTTGGCAGTGTAGATGCATCCCAATGGCATAACAACTGTTGCAGGATGTTCTATGTCTCTATCTATGCCCAGTAGATGGGCACGCTGCTGCAAAGAATGTTGATCGTGGTGCCCAGCATGGAGCGGTCAGCAAGGGCCTGTGGGTCACTTCCTGTCTCCTTTTCTTTGCCCCTTTTGAAGGTTGGCATAAAAGGCTTTGGCTAGAAGACAAAACAAGAGAAGAAAAGAGGTCAGTAAACAAAGAAAGAGGCAAACCTGGGTTGACAACAGTCCATGGGAAAAGGATCTAGGAGTCTTAGCAGACCACAAGCTGAACATGAGCCAACGGTGTAATGCGGCAGCAGGAAAGGCCAATGCGATCCTAGGCTGCAATGATAGGAGGATAGTGTCTAAACCAGAGTTTCTCAACCTGGGGGTCGGGACAAGGGGGGGCGGCGGTATTTGTGCCATGTTTGTTCCAAATACACAGACCATATTTTCGTTCTTGCATACCACATATCAGATATTTACATTAAGATTCATAACAGTAGCAAAATTATGAAGTGGAAATGAAAATAATTTTATGGTTGGTGGGTCACCACAACACGAGGAACTAGGTTAATGGGTTAGGTTGAGAACCGCTCATCTAAATGGAGGGAATTCATATAGGTGGTGGCTTCACAATGGTAATATACAGGTAAGGAATTGAGGAGTCTTAATATTACCACAAGCTAAACATGAGCCAAGGGTGTGATGCAGCAGCGAAAAAAGCCAATGCGATTCTAAGGTATTGAAATCAGGCAGAGAAAAGTAATTCACAGCTATAGATTGGGGGCTTGAAAACAGCCCAGGTGGAAGTCATATAGAAAATATTCTCTCTCTTTCTCTTTCTCATTCTCTCTCTCTCTCTCTCTCTCTGCGTTTTTGGTCTTATTTTATTGTAATTTTGTTGTTTGGGCTTGGCCTCATGTAAGCCACTCTGAGTTCCCATTGGGGAGATGGTGGTGGGGTATAAATAAAGATTATTATTATTATTATTATTATTATTATTATTATTATTATTATTATTATTATTAGATATCTATCTATTTCAAGTCTCCTTCGGGTATAAATACACACAACAACAACAACAAATATATACCTCACTACCTCTGAGGATGCTTGCCATAGATGCAGGCGAAACATCAGGAGAAATGCCTCTAGAACATGGCCCTATAGCCCGAAAAAACCTACAAGAACCTAGTGATTCCAGTCATGAAAGCCTTCGACAATACAACAAATATATATATACACACACACTATAGAGAGAGCCACTTTGAATCTCCTTTGGGAGAGATCAAGCAGAGTATAAATAAACATAACAACATCAATCACAACAACAACACACTACATTCTAACAATATAAACACACTACAGAGTCAGACACAACTAAGTCCAGTTGTGTCTGACTCTGGGGGTTGATGCTCATCTCAGTTTCTAAGACAAAGAGCTAGCGTTGTCCGTAGACACCTCCAAAGTCATGTGGCCACGGGCATGACTGCATGGAGCACCCTTACCTTCCCGCTGGAGTGGTACCTATTGATCTACTCACATTTGCATGCTTTTGAAGTGCTAGGTTGCAGAAGCTGAGCCTAACAGCTGGAGCTCACGTAGCTCCCCTGATTTGAACTTGCGATCTTTTAGTCAGCAAGTTCAGCAGCTCAGCGATCTAACCCACTGTTGCACCGGGAGCTTCATACTATATATATCTATATATCTATATCTCTATATATCTATATCTATATATATATAGATAGAGAGAGAGAGATGCTACAGCTAGAAAAGCCAATACGATTATATTATGTAACACGATTTTTGTTCCTGGGTTATCAATGCCATTTCCTAACTGGTTCTATCATTGAAAAAACATGAAGACAGTTTATTAGACTGCCCAAACGTTGTTTTTGTGGGAGGGACATCCTGCTATAGCACATGGATGGATGGATGGATGGATGGATGGATGGATGGATGGATGGATGGATGGAAGGATGGATGGATGAAAGGAAGGAAGGAAGGAAGGAAGGATGAAAGAGAGGAAGGGAAGGATGGAAGAAGAAAGAGGGAGAGAGGGAAGGAGGGAGGAAAGAGGGAAGGGAGGAAGGAGAAAGAGGGAGGAAAGAAGGAAGGAAGGAAGGAAGGAAGGAAGGATTAAAAGGTGGAAGGGAAGGATGCAAGAAAAAAGAAGGAGGGAAGAGAGGGAGAGAAGGAGGAAAGAAAGAGAGAAGGAAGGAAAGACAAAATGAAGGGAAGGATGGAAGAGTGGAAGGGAAGGATGGATAGATGAATGGAAGGGAGGGAGGGAGGAAGGGAGGGGAGGAAGGAAGGAGACAGGAAAGAGAGAAGGAAGGAAAGACAAGGGAAGGAAGGGAAGGAGGAAGGAAGGAGAAAAAGGGAGTGAGGGGTAAGGAAGGAAGAACAAAAGGGTAGAAGGAAGGAGGGAGGGAAGGAGAAAGAGGGTGATAGGAAGGAAGGAAGGAAGGAAGGACAAAAGGGTGGAAGGGAAGGAGGGAAGGAGAAAGAGGTAGGTAAGGAAGGGAAGGAGGGAAGGAGAAAGGAAAGGAAAGGAAGGGAAAGGAAGGAAAGAAAGACAAGGGTGGAAGGGAAGGAGAAAAGGTAGGTAATGGAGGGAAGGAGAAAGGAAAGGAAGGAAAGACAAAAGGGTGGAAGGAGGGAAAGCAAAAGAGGAGAGAGGGGAGAAAGGAGAGAAAGCAAAAGATGAGAGAGAGGGGAGAAAGGAAAGGAAACAAGGAAGAAAGGAAGAAAAGAAGGAAAGACAAGGGTGGAAGGGAAGGAAGGAAGGAGAAAGAGGTAGGTAAGGAAGGGAGGGAGGGAGAGAAGGAGAAAGGAAAGGAAGGAATGAAGGGTGGAAGGGAAGGAGAAAGAGGGAGGGAAGGAGGCAGGAAAGAGAGAAAATAGGAAGGACGGGATGATGAGAGAGAGGAGGGCCTGAGAAAAGAGCCCAAAGGGCTGCATCCGCCCCCTGGACCTGGGTTTGCCGATACCTGTTACATCTATTGGAGTCTAGTGTCTAGATTTCAACAGAGGCCATCCCTCAGGAGTGGGTTGGACTAGATGGCCTTTAGGGGTCCCTTCAATGACAACAATACAGGCCCCAAATCCTTGCGATTTGTTCTTTTTCAGCCCTAAACTCCACCTCATTTCTGCGTCCATCCCTCTCCCCGCCTCACCTGGATGTGCTGGAACACCTTGACAACCTCATCCAGGCTTTGGATGTTTTCCTTATCCATTCGGGTGAGATAACAGGACTTCCCTTCGGGCCATGATCGGTAGCCAATCACAAGCTGCACAAAAACAAGAGGAGCTTAAAATTGGAATCAGGAACTAATTTTGGGATCTTGAAGCTCTTCTACCCTATGCAATGATTGCACTATGACTGCCCTTCTAATTGCTTTGAAATACTTGGATTTGCCATTTCAGAGGGGGGCATCTACACTGTAGGAATGAATGCAGTTTGGCACCACTTCAACTGCCATGACTCAATGCTAGGGTAATACCGGGAGTTGTAGTTTCCCAAGGTCTTGAGCCCTCACACTGTAGAATGAATGCAGTTTGGCACTACTTGAATTGCTGCAGCTCAAGGCTGGGGAATACTGGGAGTTGTCATTTCCCAAGGTTTTTAGCTGCCACACTATATAATACGAGACGTTGTTGTTTCCCAAGATCTTGAGCCCTCACACAGTAGAATGGATGCAGTTTGGCACTACTTGAATTCCTGCACCTCAAGGCTGGGGAATACTGGGAGTTATAGTTTCACAAGGTCTTTAGCTGTCACACTATAGAATACTGGGAGTTGTCGTTTTACAAGGTCTTTAGCTGTCACACTATAGAATACTATGAGTTGTATTTTCACAAGGTCTTTAGCCATCACACTATAGAATGCTGGGAATTGTTGTTTCCTAAGGTATTTAGCCATCACACTATAAATACTGGGAGATGTAGTTTCCCAAGATATTTCGCCGCCACACTATAAAATATTGGTAGTTGTAGTTTCCCAAGGTCTTTAGCTGTCACACTATAGAATACTGGGAGTTGTAGTTTCACAAGGTTTTTAGCCGTCACACTATAGAATACTGGGTGTTGTAGTATCACAAGGTCTTTAGCCATTACACTATAGAAGCCTGGGAGTTGTTGTTTCCTAAGGTATTTATTTATTTATTTATTTACGCTATTTGTATACCGCATTTATCAGCCGTGACCGGCGACTCAATGCGGTTTACAGTAAAAGTTGTGCACACTAACAATGTAAAGACAAACATACACAAACGACACACATATAGACATCAACGCCTCACATAAAATCAGATTCCGTTCTCACATTCCATTGCCGTTCCTTGTTCAGTTATGCCGTCTTCCTGGATTTAATTGCAATTGCACAGCTATCCGAACGCCTGCTCAAAGAGCCACGTCTTAACCCTCCTCCGAAACACCAGCAACGAAGGGGCCTGCCTGATGTCCGCTGGTAGGGCATTCCATAGCCGAGGGGCCATCACCGAGAAGGCCCTGTCTCTCGTCCCCGCCAACCGCGCTTGCGATGCCGGTGGGACCGAGAGCAGGGCCTCCCCGGACGATCTTAACGTCCTCGCCGGTTCATAGGTGGAGATGCGTTCGGAGAGGTAAGTGGGAGGTATAGCTGTCACACTATAGAATACTGGGAGGTGTGGTGTCCTAAGATATTTAGCTGCCTCACTATAAAATACTGATAGTTGTAGTTTCCCAAGGTCTTTAGCTGCCACACTATAGAATATTTGGAGTTGTTGTTTCCCAAGGTCTTGAGTCCTCACATTGAACTGCTGCATCACAAGGCTGGGGAATACTGGGAGTTTTAGTTTCCCAAGGTCTTCAGCCTCCTCTGCCAAACTACAACTCCCAGCCCTGTTGCCTAGAGCCCACAACGGTTCGACCATTATGTCTACAGTTTCAATGCATCCTGTGATAGAGAAGGACAGGACCTCCTCAAACTATAAATGCCAGGGACAATGCAACATTGGAAGCTTACATTGCCGAAGTCATAAACCACGGTGGCGGAAGTGTTGGCTGCCCCATGGACGTGGAAGGTGGCCAGCCTCTCCTTCCGGCTCATGGAAAGGTGCTGGGGAGACCCTTTGCCATCCAGACCTTGGATGGTCATTTGCAGGACCTGCAAAAGAGGAGGACCGAATACAGAGAAAGGAGAAAAAGGCTCAAGCCTTCCATCGAAAAGCTATCAGGATGTCCTTCTGCAAAGTTTTTGCCATATTTTTTATGATAGAACCAATTAGGAAATGACATTTGGTCCAGTGAACGAAAACACATCCTGCATATCAGATATTAACATTACGATTCATAACAGTAGCAAAATTTCAGTTATGGTAGCAATGAGAATAATGTTATGTTTGGGGGTCACCACAGCAGGAGGAACTGTATTCAGGGGTCGCGACATTAGGAAGGTTGAGAAACATTGCGTTGAGCCCTATTGTCACACTGACCTTTCTTTCTCTCTCCTTTTGCAAAAAAAGGAAGAGACATGGCATGGCTCTTTTTGGGGGAAAGCACTGCAGGCAGCCCCAAATTCACAAACAAGAGAGGTTCTTTAGGTTTGTTCTAAAGTTTAAGTTGTTTGTAAGTCAGAACAGGTACATTATAAAAGTATAACTCCAGCCATCTATATATATAAAAATGCTCTGTGCATAATGAGTACCTTAAAAACAAAAGAACCACTGAACGAAATCACACCAAATTTGGCAACATAACATCTTACAACACAAAGAGTGACCATCACTCAAAAAATTATGATTTTGTCATTTAGGAGATGTAGTTGCTGGGATTTATAGTTCACCTACAATCAAAGAGCATTCTGAACCCCACCAACAATGGAATTGAGCCAAACTTGGCACACATTTCTCCCATGACGAACAGAAAACACTGGAAGGGTTTGGTGGGCATTGACCTTGAGTTTGGGAGTTGTAGTTCACCTACACCAAGAGAGCACTGTGGACTCAAACAATGATGGATCTGGGCCAAACTTGGCACAAGGACTCAATACGCCCAAATATGAACACAGATGGAGTTTGAGGGAAATAGACATTGACATTTGGGAGTTGTAGTCACTGGAATTCACAGTTCACCTACAATCAAAGAGCATTCTGAACTCCACGAACGACAGAATCGAGGCAAACTTCCCACACAGAACCCCCATGACCAACAGAAAATACTTAAGGCCATCCAATCCAACTCCCTTCATCAGAGCAAGAAAACGTAATCAAAGTCCTCCTGACAAAGAGCCATCCAACCATAGATAGATAGATAGATAGATAGATAGATAGATAGATAGATAGATAGATAGATATAGATAGATAGATACGATTCACACACGCAGAGATATAGTATCATAGATTTGAAAGGGACCCTTAAAGAAGGACAATGATATCTTGCATGTTCCAGGGTGGGCAAACAAGACACTCTCCACATCAACACTGGCAAAGGAACAGCAAGAAATACTGTTTATCTACAAGCATAAAGGAATTACATATATTAGAAACCAACACTTTCTCATTACTTTATTTTCCAGATCAACAGACTGGGCCACAGCAATGCGTGGCAGGGGACAGCTAGTATGTGTGGATATATATATATATATATATATATATATATATATATATATATATATATCAGCCGTCCCCTGCCATGTGTTGCTGTGGCCCAGTCTGTTAATCTGGATAATAAAGTAATGAGAAAGTGTTGGTTTCTAATAGATGTAATATCTTTCTGCTTGTGGGTGAACAGTATTTCTTGTTGTTTCTTTGTCAGTGTTGATGTAGAGATTGTCTGGTTTGCCCACTCTGGAACATGCAATATAGAATTGTCCTTCTTTAGGGGTCCCTTTCAAATCTAGGATAATATATCTGTCATATACATATGTGTGTGTGTGTGTGTGTGTGAATCATATATCTATCTATATCTATAGCTGGATGGCTCTTTGTTATGAGGGATATCATTATGTTTTCTTGCCCTGGTGAAGTGAGTAGGACTGGATGGCCTTAAGGCAGCCTTTCTCAACCTGGGGTCGGGACCCTGGGGGAGGGGTCACCAGGGGGTGTCAGAAGGGTTGCCAAAGACCACCAGAAAACACAGTATTTTCTGTTGATTATGGGGGTTTTGTGTGGGAAATTTGGCCCAATTCTATTATTGCTGGGTTTCAGAATGCTCTTTCCATCTGAACATGAGGAAGAACTTCCTTACTGTGAGAGCTGTTCAGCAGTGGAACTCTCTGCTTCGGAGTGTGGTGGAGGCTCCCTCTTTGGAAGCTTTTAAACAGAGGCTGGATGGCCATCTGTCAGGGGTGCTTTGGATGTAATATTCCTGGTTCTTGGCAGAATGGGGTTGGACTGGATGGCCCATGAGGTGTCTTCCAACTCTATGATTCTATGATTGTAAGTGAATTATAAATCCCAGCAACTACAACTCCCAAAGGTCAAGATCTATTTCCCCCAAACTCTATCTGTGTTCGTATTTGGGCATATGGAGTATTCGTGACAAGCTTGATCCAGATCCTTCATTGTTTGAGCCCACAGTGCTCTCTGGATTTAGGTGAACTACAACTCCAAAACCCAAGGCGAATGCCCACCAATCCCTTCTAGTGTTTTCTGTTGGTCATGGGAGACCTGTGTGTCAAGTTTGGTTCAGTTCAATCGCTGGTGGAGTTCAGAATGCTCTTTGATTGTAGGTGAACTATAAATCCCAGCAACTACAACTCCCAAATGACAAAATCAATTTTTTTCAGTGATGGTCACTGAAAAAACAGGAAAGGTGTACACAGGAAAGGGTCAGCACCCTTGTGGTGTTTCCTTTGTTATCTGTGCCCCTGTTGAGAAGATTTCATAATAATTTCTGTCCCTGTGATAATTGAATTTTGCTAAATGTGGCTCGTTGTGGAAATAAGGACTGGAGATAAAGCTCCACTGGAGACCCCTTTCCCCCATGATAATAACTCTTCCAGGAGTGGATTTCCCTTCCTAAAGGTAGATTCCTCCCACTACCTGTTGTCTCTGCTCTGTTCTTAACTAGGAGTTGTTTGTAAGTCGACTTAACTATGAGCTGTTTGTAAGTTTGTAAGTCAGGGATGTCTTGTATTGCAAAAGGGGACATCTTAATGGACCTACCGTCTCTGTATGTTTCTCCGTGATGTGCAGTCCCATCAGCAGGAAGCCCAACACAACCAGGACAATCACAACCACCACAACCACAATGATTAGGGGCTTTTTGCAGGGCAGTCCGGGCAGCCGAGGAGAGGCTGTGTAGACCTGTAGGAAAGAGTCAAAGGTTGCCAAAAGGTCTTCTTTACCTTTGCAAGATATGCCCAAAAAGGTCCAACGAAAGGTCTGAATCCCTCGAAAGCTCTCCCAAATGTACTGACCCACCTCTCCGTTCCCTCCCCATGGATTCCCTGGGCAACCATTACCTTCAGGAGCAAAAAATCCCTCCTGGAAGAAGGAGCGAGACTCACCGGGGGTCTTTCAAGCATCTCTTTGCCGCCTTCCATCTTGTGGTAGACTTCCATCTCGACGTTGCTGCGCTCTTGCAAAAAGGAGCCCTCCCTTATAAAGACTGAAAGGTCCCAGGGAATGCGTCAGCTGGTCTTCCCAAACCTTTTGGCAGGTAACCAGCTGTTGCCTCCACCTGCCATCACGTCAACCAGGAATAAGATCAGTCCCGAGTCCTCCTTGGACAGGAGTCAAGTGGCCCTCCACCCAAGGACCTCTCCAAAGAGATGCCAAAGTCAACGTCTTCTTCAAACACAAGTCATTCTTCTTCCAGGTACAACTCCTCTTCTATCAAGGCTTCCTTTCATCATCTCAATGAGATTCTTGAGATGTTCAGAAGGGGAAGGAAAACCAACACTTTTCTAAGTCATGGGAAATGCAATGGAGAATATATTTGCCTTGTGTTGTCAAAAGCTTTCATGCTGAATTGCTGTGAGTTTCCTGGGTTGTATGGCCATGTTCCAGAAGCATTCTCACCTGACATTTCACCCACATCTATGGCAGGCATCCTCAGAGGTTGAGGGGTGTGTTGGAAACTAAGTAAGTGAGTCTTATATGTCTGTGGAATGTCCAAGCTGAGGGAAAGAATTCTTGTCTGCCTGAGGTATGTTCTCCTTTCTTCTTGGGAGGCCCTTCTTTCGCCCCTGCCAATTTCACAAGCTCGCCTAGTAAGTACAAAGGAGAGAGCTTTTTCCTCTGTGGCCCCCCGACTCTGGAACTCACTACTTGGAGAAATTAGGAAAGCCCCTACCTTAGAAACTTTTAAAAAGGACCTTAAAACCTGGCTCTTCTGCTGTGCTTTTGATGAATAGGTTTACATTCTCACACTATTGCTTAGCCTCAACGTTTTGTCATTGGAGTATATGTCGTCCCCCCCTTTGTGGGAAAGCCTGATTCCACAACCCCCACTATAATGAGTCCTCCTCCGCAAATAATCTGTCTCTCTCTGATCTCGCCTGAGTTTTAATTAGTTTTAATCAGTCTCTCTTTTAATCATTACATGTAGCCCACCTATAGTCATTGTGATTGTGCCTATTGCTATGTTTTCATATGTTTTATGCAATTATGTTGTTTGTTGTTTATTGTTTGTATTTTCAGTTTTATTTTATTGTAATTTGCTGTTTGGGCTTGGCCTCATGTAAGCCGCTCCAGGTCCCCATTGGGGAGATGGTGGCGGGGTATAAATAAAGATTATTATTATTATTATTATTATTATTATTATTATTATTATTATTATTATTTGTGTGAAAGTTGCAATTTGCCACTTTGATTAGCATTTAATGGTCTGTAGTTTCAAAGTCTGGCTGGTTGCTGCCTGGGGGAATCCTTTGTTGGGAGGGAATCCTTTGCTGGCGAACACCCCATGATTTCAGAGTGCAAGGATATACAGACATCCGAAAATGCAGATTTTTGGCTCAGAATTGGGATATTCCCGCACCTAAAAATCTCACGTTTTTTCTGTTTGTAGCGATTGCTTCCTCGTTTTATGGGAATGGCATCTGGACATCCTCCTGTTTGCTGCAGGAACTCCTGGGATAAAGGTACTGTCTGGACAAGCCCTCTGGCACACCTTCCAGAACTACAGTTCTTATTATTCCATTGCATTGAGCTGTTAAAGTGGGGTATACACTGAACTAATTCTACAGTGTAGATGTAGCCTTGGTGCAGGTTGGGGTCCACCTTGCAAGCTGTGAAGCTGCTGAACCACACCGTAGCTATTTTGGGACTGTCAGACAGTGGTCCCATTGTGTGTTTATGTTTTGTTTGGTTGTGTCCCTCTCCGCCGGGCTCGGAATAACTCACAAACATCAGCCCATCATACTTTGCCCATTGTTGTCTGGGAAGCTGCCGTGCCGGGAACGAGGGCTGTTTGCAACCATGCCACGTGCGACTTGCACGAGTGTCTTGTGCACAATGGCCCGTCATCCCACAACAAGGGTGCCAGGTGGTCAAGGGGGACATCCAGCAGCAAGTGCCCAAGGGATGCCAGCGAAGGCCACACCCTTGCCCTGAGATTCCTCTCCTCTCCCTGGAAAATCATAGAATCCTAGAGTTGGAAGGGACCCCCAAAGGCCATCCAGTCCAACTCTCTTCTTTCTGCTTTCTACATTGCCATATAATCCAGATTATCAAAGTGGATAACCTATGTTGTCTGCTTCGAACTGGATTATATGAGTCTACAATGTCATATAATCCAGTTCAAAGCAGATTATAAGGATTTTATATGGCAGTGTAGAAAAGATCTCAAAGGCAGTCTGTAGTCTGCTTCATTTGGGATCCCCAAAGGCCATCCAGTCAAATCCCCTTCTGTCAGCCAGGAATGCACAATCAAAGCACTCCCGACAGATGCCCATCCAGCCGCTACTTTATAATAATAATCTATATAAATAAAATGTAATGTTCGTTTGTGGGATTAACAGAACTCAAAAACTACTGGACGAATTGACACCAAATTTGACACCCATCAGGCCAATGAGTGACCATCACTCAAAAAAAATGATTTTGTCATTTGGGGGTTGTAGTTGCTGGGATTGATAGTTCACCTACGATCAAAGAGCATTCTGAACCCCATCAATGATGGAATTGAACCAAACTTGGCTCACACTTCTCCCATGACTAACAGAAAATACTGGAAAGGTTTGGTGGGCAGTGGCCTTTGGTTTTGGAGTTGTAGTTCACCTACATTCAGAGATCACTGTGGACCCAAACAATGATGGATCTGGACCAAACTCTACACGAATACTCAATATGCCCAAATGTGAACACTGGTGGAGTTTGGGGAAAATAGAATCTTGACATTTGGGAGTTGTAGTTGCTGGGATTTATAGTTTACCTACAATCACAGAGCATTCTGAACCCCACCAACAATAGAATTGGGCCAAATCTCCCACACAGAACCCTCATGTGGACCACAGCAACATGTGGCAGGGGATGGCTAGTAATAATAATAGTAGTAGTAGTAGTAGTGCAATCTGGTAATGGAACATAGGAATGGAACAATGGACGACGAACCTGGACTACGCTTGGATGATGAGAAGATTGGGTACGGTTGTTTTTTGTAATAATTGTGCATTGTAATTGCTTATTGGTAATTTATGGATAATGTGTTAAGTCAATTGTTATATGTTGTATGGAACCACTGCTGTTTCTACTGTTTCTACTGTTTGTGAACCGCTGTGAGTCGCCTTCGGGCTTGAGATACAGCGGTATATAAGCAAAGTAAATAAATAATAAATAAATAATAGTAATAATAATAATAATAATAATAATAATAATAATAATAATAATAGAATCCTAATATTGAAAGAGATCCCATGGTCCACCCAGTCCAACCCCCCCAGGCAGGAAAACACAATTAAAGTCCTCCTGACAGATGGCCATCCAGCCTCTGCTTCATAATAACACTAATAATATTAATACAATCCCCGAGTTGGAAGGGATCACCAAAGGCCATCCAATCCAACCCCCTTCTGCCAGACAGGAAGGCACAATCAAAGCCCTTTCAACAGATGGCCTCTGCTTAATAATAATAATAATAATAATAATAATAATAATAATAATAAGAAGAAGAAGAAGAAGAAGAAGAGGAGACTCCACTGGACTCCAAGGTAGTCTATAGTCTGCTACATTTAGAAGGGATCACCAAAGAACATCCAACCCAGCCCCATCCTGCTATGCAGGGCGAAATAATCATAGAATCATAGAGTTGGAAGAGACCTCATGAGCCATTCAGTCCAACCCCCTGCCAAGAAGCAGGAAAATCACATTCAAAGCACCCCTGACAGATGGCCATCCAGCCTCTGTTTAAAAGCTTCCAAAGAAGGAGCCTCTACCACACTCTATGGCAGAGAGTTCCACTACTGAATGCCTCTCACAGTCTGGAAATTCTTCCTAATGTTCAGATGGAATCTCCTTTCTTGTAGTTTGAAGCCATTGTTACATTGTGTCCTAGTCTCCAGGGAAGCAGAAAACAAGCTTGCTCCCTTCTCCCTCTCACATATTTATACATGGCTATCATGTCTCCTCTCAGCCTTCTCTTCTTCAGGCTAAACATGCCCAGCTCTTTAAGCCGCTCCTCATAGGGCTTGTTCTCCAGACCCTTGATCATTTTAGTCGCCCTCCTCTGGACACATTCCAGCTTATCAATATCTCTCTTGAATTGTGGTGCCCAGAATTGGACACAATATTCCAGGTGTGGTCTAACCAAGGCGGAATAGAGGGGTAGCATTACTTCCCTGGATCTAGACACTAGACTCCTATTGATTGGGTCCCCGAGTGGGTCACGCTCTCTCAACCTCACAGAAAAGTAGGTAAAGACAACAGAGAAGTAGGTAAAGGGTCGCTCTAAGTCAGGAACGACACAGCAAGCAGGATTCAATGCTTGGAGCTCAGACCACACTCTCTTAGTCTGAAAAGAAAAAGCCCCCCCGGCAAAGAAACCCAATAGGGTTACCATAAGTCGGGAATAATGGCTCGAAAGCACACAGCAGTGAGGCATAATGCTTGGAGGGTCCTAATGCGTCTGAGCGGATGATGCCACATTGCCAGTGGGCTCAAGAGATGCCAGGCGTGGCTTTGTTTGCCTTTGGATGCCAATGGGAAGCCTCTCTCCGCCACCCCATCATCTGCTTTGGCACTGCCTTCTTTTCTTTCTTTCTCTCCCTCTTTCTCCCTCCCTCCTTCTTGTTCCTCCTCCGTCATCATGCAGAGCTGACAGCAACAGCAGCAGCAGCTGGGGAAGAACACGCACAGAGAGACAGATTGCAGGAGAAGAGCACCAAGCCAGCCGAGAAAGGGACCTGTCCTCCTGGGCTGCAGCATCTTCTCCTTTGGGGGGATATTGGGTACCGCTTTGTTGTCCTCCATCTCTGCCATGGCTTCCAGGCAGGTGCTGCTGCTTTGCTTCCTAGGCCTGGCTGGGCTTTGGGGTCCGGGGGCTCGCTCTCGGAGGCCCCCACGGCCCCCTCCGTGCCCACAGAGCTGCTCTTGCACCCGGGACACTGCCTTCTGCATCGACTCCAAAGCCATTCCCAAGAACCTGCCTCGGGACGTCATCTCTCTGTGAGTCTTTTTTAGCATCCTTTGCCCAAAAAAGGAGGGAAAGTGCATCCTTTTTAGGAAAAGTGGGTCACTTCTCTATGCGGCGAAAGTCCAAGGTTAGCACGGAGGGCTTGGTGCACCCCATATGATTTGTGTTGTATTGATTGCTTATTATGTTTTGTTTATTGATGTTTTGTTTATTGATGTATTGTGGGCTTGGCCTCATGTAAGCCGCACCGAGTCCCTTGGGGAGATGGTAGCGGGGTACAAATAAAGTTATTATTATTATTATTATTATTATTATTATTATTATTATTATTCCTTGCACTTTCAGGTGGGTGACTGCAGGCATCATCCCATCCCAGGTGTGCTCGTCTCCAAAAGTTGTGTTGCCAAAGTTGTGTAGTAAATATGAATTTTCTCACCTAGAATGCTAACAGGACCGTACAACATATTTACATAGTGCAGATGGTTTCCGATGGATGGCGGACAAAAAGGAACAGGCAATATGTGATTAGGCCCGTTGGCACAGGGGTTCAGAAACAGAGTATAAGGTATTGTTGAAGGCTTCCATGGTCAGAACCACTAGGTTGTTTGTTGTCTGTTTGAGGCAAGTTGCAGTTGATTAGCATGGAATAGCCTGGTGGCGCAATGAGTTAAATCGCTGAGCTGCTGAACTTGCTGACTGAAAGGTTGGTGATTCGAATTTGCAGGATGGGGTGAGCTCCTGCTGGTAGCTCCAGCTTCTGCCAACCTAGCAAAGACCTCATAATCTCTGAGGATGCCTGCCATAGATGTGGGCGAAACGTCAGGAGAGAACACTTCTGGAACATGGCCAAACAGCCCAACATACTTACAACAACCCAGTGGTTGTTGTAAGTTGGTGGGAGAACAAACGCTTGTCTGTTTGAGGCAAGTTGAAATTGATTAGCATTGAATAGCCTGGTGGCGCAGTGACTTAAACCGCTGAACTGCTGAACTTGCTGACTGAAAGGTTGGCGATTCAAATCTGCAGGATGGGGTGTGCTCCTGCTGGTAGCTCCAGCTTCTGCCAGAGACCTCATAACCTCTGAGGATGCCTGCCATAGATGTGGGCGAAACGTCAGGAGAGAACGCTTCTGGAACATGGCCAGACAGCCTGAAAAACTTACAAGAGTTCTTTCTCTCACCCTGGCCAATATTACACACACACACCTATACATACATACATACAAATAGGCAACAGGAGTCCCTGGATGGTGAAGCGGGTTAACCGCTGAGCTGCTGAACTTGCTGACCGAAAGGTCTGCAATTTGAATTCAGAGAGCGGGGTGAGCTCCCGCTGTTAGCCCCAGCTTTTGCCAACTTGCCAATGCAGGAAAGGCATTAAAATATTAATATTAAAAATGCATCTATGGCAGGCATTCTCATAGGTTATGAGTTCTTGGCATGACTACATGGAGCACTGTTACCTTCCCGCCAAAGCGGTACCTATTGATCTACTCACATTTGCATGTTTATGAACTGCTAGGTTGGCAGTAGATGGAGCTGACAGCGAGAGCTTGGAAAATGTGGTTTATATATCTGTGGAATTATGTCCAGGGAGGGAGAAAGAACTCTTGTCCATTTGAGGCAGGTGTGAATGTTGCAACTGGCCACCTTGATTAGCATGTAATGGCCTGGCAGTTTCAAGGTCTGGCTGATTCCTGCCTGGAGGAATCCTTTGTCAGGAGGTGTTAGTTGGCCTTGCTTGTTTCTTGTCTGGAACTCCCCAGTTTTTGAGTGTTGTTCTTTTTTGTTGTTGTTTATTCATTGTCACTTCTGACTCTTTGTGACCTCATGGACCAGCCTACGTCAGAGCTCCCTCTCAGCCATCACCACCCCCAGCTCCTTCAGAGTCAAGCCAGTCACTTCAAGGATACCATCCATCCATCTTGCCCTTGGTCGGCCCCTCTTCCTTTTTACTTCCATTTTCCCCAGCCTCATTCTCTTCTCTAAGCATTGGATGGCCTTACAGTATTAAAAAAACACTAAAATCTTAACAGTAAATAAAGAACAATGGGGAATTATTAAAGCAATGGTATTCCCCGTAGTAACCTATGTATGTGAGATCTAGACCTTAAGGAAGGCTGAGCGAAGGAAGATAGATGCTTTTGAACTGTGGTGCTGGAGGAAAGTTCTGAGATTGCCTTGGACTGCGAGAAGATCCAACCAGTCCATACTTCAGGAAATAAAACCTGACTACTCATTGAAAGGAAGAATAGTAGAGGCCAGGATGAAGTATTTTGGGCACATCATGAGAAGAAAGGAAAGCTTAGAGAAGAGAACGAGGTTGAGGAAAATGGAAGGAAAAAGGAAGAGGGGCTGACCAAGGGCAAGATGGAATGATGGTATCCTTGAAGTGACTGGCTTTGAAAGGGTCTTTGAGTGAAATTAGCAAATGATAAGCAAGGGGCTTTGAATGAAATTAGTAACAAAGGAAAATGTACCCTTTCTCTGTAAAAAAGGAGCAGCAGGGAAGAAAATGTTTTAAAAAACAAGAGGTGACTTGTAGAGGTCAGACAAAGTTCGAGCTTACATAGGAAGTTGGGTTGTGGTTAAGCGCAAAGTCTGCAGGTGCAAGAAGGTACTTTCCATCAAGAGGTTGATGGGACAGGAAGAATAAAGGTCAAAGTACTTTTCATGTTCTTGTTTACTTGAGGGTATATAAAGGTTTACAAAAGACGAGGGGGGGGGGTGTTTACGGCAGTCTGTGGAAGCACAGGCAGAATTGCTGTCTGTTCACCTCATGTTGATCAGCTTAAATAAACGGTGTCTTACATGAACCTATTGGACTCTGTGGATTTCTTCAAAAAGAGACTCCGCATCCTAAACCTGTGATCCCTTACAGCTTGACTCTGAAGGAGCTGGGGGTGGCAACGGCCAACATGGGCTCTGGCATGGGCTGGTCCATGAGGTCACAAAGAGTCGGAAGTGACTGAACGAATAAACAACAACAACAAAGAACAATATTCCAAAACCGGGGAATTCCAGACAAGAAACAATCAGGGCCAGCTAACACCTCCCGACAAAGGATTCCCCCAGGCAGGAATCAGCCAGACCCTAAAACTGCCAGGCCATTACATGCTAATCAAGGTGACCATTTTCAACATTCACACCTGCCTCAAACAGACAAGAGTTCTTTCTCCCACCCTGGACATCATTCAACAGATATATAATCCCACTTGCTTCGTTTATTGTATACATAGATTATATAAATGATATTCATTATGCATTGTATTTATGACATTTTTATATCCATTATTTATTTATATTTATTTATATTTATTATGTATTATGTTTTTTATATCCATGACACTATGAAATACAATTTTGTGCCTGGGTTACAAATGCCATTTTCTAATTGGCTCTGTCATAGAAACATGGGGAAAATGTATCACATGGTGGGACACCCTGAAGCATGTTTTGCTTTAGTTTCCAATGACTGTCTTGTCATAACCAATTCAAACTAGTTTGTGCCACAGAACCAACATTTCTGCAGTAGTTGGGTCACTGTGAGTTTTTCGGGCTGTCTGGCCATGTTCCAGAAGCATTCTCTCCTGACATTTCACCCACATCTATGGCAGGCATCCTCAGAGGTTGTGAGTTCTGTTTGAAACTAGGCAAGTGGGGTTGATATATCTGAAGAATGTCCACTCTTATCTGTTTTAGGTAAGATGTGAATGTTGCAGTTGGCCACCTTGATTAACATTTAATGGCCTAGGTCTGGCTGACACCTGCCTGAGGGAATCCTTTGTTGGAATGTGTTAGCTGGCCCTGATTGGGTTGTTGTGTGTTTTCCGGGCTGTATGACCATGTTCCAAAAGCATTATCTCCTGACGTTTTGCCTTCAGCTGTGGTAGGCATCCTCAAAGGCTGAGGGTAGAACAAGAACTTTCAAAGTAAGAACTGCACAATTAAACAGGAAATAGCACTTTCAAACCAGGAACAGAATATGTTTCAAATGTACAGGTTGTTGTTGTTGTTGTTGTTGTTGTTTTTATCCTGCTCTTATATCTCAACTGAGATATTTGCAAAATGCAGACAATAACAAACACCCCAAAGGCCCCAGGTCCAATCTGATCTTGTGTGCTAAGCAGGGCTGGCCCTGGTTTAGACTTGGATGGGAGACCGTCAATGAATTGAAGGCACTGAACGCTGTATTTTGAGTCTTTGATGCCTAAGAAAACTCCATTAAATTCATGGCATGGGCTTAAATGCCTCAAAGGCATCCGGTTCACTCTAATCTTGGATGCTAAGCAGGGTTAGCCCTGGTTAGGACTTGGATGGGAGACCGCCAATGCATGGAAGGAACCAAAGGCTGTCTTTCAGAGGTAAAGCCACCTCTGAGTCTCCTTTCCCTATGGAAACACTCTTAAATTCATAGAGTATCCATAAGCCAAGGCATAGGCCTAATACCAGTCTGATCTTGGATGCTAGGTAGGATCAAACTTGGTTAGTATTTGGATGGGAGACTGGCAATGAATCAAAGGTACCAGAGGCTGTACTTCGGGTGATGGAACTGCCAGAAGTGCCTCTGAGAATGCATCTACACTGTGGAGTTAATGCAGTTTGACACCCTTTGAACTTTTTTTTTGTCATGTCAGGAGCAACTTGAGAAACTGCAAGCTGCTTCTGGTGTGAGAGAATTGTCCATCTGCAAGGACATTGCCCAGGGGATGCCCGGATGTTTTGATGTTTTAACATCCTTGTGGGAGGCTTCTCTCATGTCCCCGCATGGGGAGCTGGAGCTGATAGAGGGAGCTCATCCGCACTCTCCCCGGATTCGAACCTGAGGCCCTGTCTTGCCGGCACAGGGGTTTAACCCACTGCGCCACCGGGGCTCTGCTCTGGCTCTATGGCATGGAATCCTGGGAGTTGTAGTTTGGCAAGATATTGGATGTACCGGCCCTGTTGCATTAATGTGGTTTGACATCACCAAGGCCAATGGGAGTTGTAGTTCACTGAGGCACTGCCACCCCCCTTTGGCAGGGAAGGCGACAGATCTTGCCAAACTACAACTCTAAGGACTCCCAGGACTTCATCGCCTTACAGGAGCCCCCGGTGGCGCAGTGGGTTCAACCCCTGTGCCGGCAGGACTGAAGACCAACAGGTCGCAGGTTCGAATCTAGGGAGAGGCGGATGAGCTCCCTCTATCAGCTCCAGCTCTTCATGCGGGGACATGAGAGAAGCCTCCCACAAGGATGATAAAAACATCAAATCATCCAGGCGTCCCCTGGGCAACGTCCTTGCAGACGGCCAATTCTCTCACACCAGAAACTACTTGCTCCTGACACGACAAAAAAAACTTCATCGCCTTGAGCCACAGCAGTTGAAAAAGTTTTCATGCTGACCGCTTATTCCCAGTTCGCAGGAGGCTTGCTGGCATCTCCCCAGTTCTTCCTCCGAGGCCCGCATTGATTTGTTTAAGTGGTTTTGCAAGCAGCTGCCATTAATCACAGCAGAGCACTTTAAATACATCCTTCTCTGCCCAGAGACCGTGCAAAAGTTATAATGCTGAGTTCGAATCTAGTCGAGGCAGCAGAAAAAAGAGAAAGAGATAGCAATATGACAGAATGGGCATTGGCAGTGAGCCGTTGCATACAAATAGGGATCATAATGAGACTATTATTATTATTATTATTATTATTATTATTATATTAATTATTTCAATAATCAGCTTCTATGTATTGTCGAAGGCTAATTAAGGTGGTCAGTTGAAACTTTCACACCTAACTTCAGCAGACAAGAGTCCTTTGTCCCACTCTGGTCATTCCACAGATATATAAACCCATTTTCCTACTTCCAACAGACCTCACTACCTCTGAGGATGCTTGCCATAGATGCAGGCGAAACGTCAGGAGAAAATGAATCTAGAACATGGCCATATAACCCGGAAAAACCTACAACAACCCAATCAGCTTCTAATCATATAAAAATACAGAGAGGGCTCCTTAGAAAAAGAGGAGAGCGAAAGAGAGCTCGGTGTGACAGTGGGGCGTAGCATAAAACTAAAATGTAATGAGAGGAGTTTGGTTTGGACAAATGTTCGACAGTGGCACTGAAGAAGGGTAAAATCATTGAAAGGAGGGCATAAATATGCCCAATGGCTAAGCGATCAAGTGTCACCAGCCAGAGGCCTATAAATATCTGGGCATACTACTTCTGGACAACATCAAACACGGACATATGAAAACTGTGGTCAGCAAAGAATACATTCAAAGGGTCAAAAAAATTCTCAAAAGCAAGCTCAATGGAGGCAATATCATCAAAGCCATGAACACCTGGGCCATACCTGTCATAAGATATACTGCTGGCATCATAAACTGGATGCAGGCAGAACTGGACAATTTGGACAGAAAAACAAGAAAACTCATGACCATTCATAACTCATTACATCTTCGCGGTGATGTTGACCGGCTCTATCTGCCTAGAAGGTCTGGTGGCAGAGGACTTTTACAAATAAAATAAGCAGTTGAAGAAGCAAAACACGCTCTAGCATAATATGTAAAGAAAAGCCAAGAACCCTTTAACTGTAGTCAATAACTGGAAATTTCTCAAAGCACAGCAGACCAAGAATCAGTACAAGAAAACTGCACTACAAACCAGAGCTGACAGCTGGCACCACAAAGCATGGCATGGGCAGTTCCTTGACAAAACTGAAGGAAAAGTTGACTGAGAAACGACCTGATGATGGTGTATGAAGGGAGCACTGAAGAAGAAGACAGAAGGCCTGATTCCTGCAGCCCAGGAGCAAGCCATCAGAACCAATGCCATTAAGGCCAGGATTGAAAAACCAGCTGATGACCCAAAATGCAGTCTGTGCAAGGAAGCTGATGAAACCATTTATCATATAATAATAATAATAATAATAATAATAATAATCCTCATCATCATCATCATCTTTATTTATATCCCGCCACCATCTCCCCGATGGTGACTCGGAGCAGCTTACATGAGGCCAAGCCCAAACAACAATTACAATAAAGAAAAACTGAAAACGCAAACCGAAAATGCAAACAATAAACAGCAACATCGTAGTTACATAAAACATGCGAATACATAACAATGTAAAAATTACAATAAGCACAATGTAAAAATTACAATAAGCCCAATGACAATGGGCAGGCTACATGTAATGATTAAAAGACAAACTGATTAAAACTAATTAAAAACTCAGGCGAGATAAAAGAGAAGCAGGTTATTAGCGGAGGAGGGCTCATTATAGCGGGGGTTGTGGAATCAGGCTCTCCCACGAGGGGGGACGGGACGTATACTCCAATGACAAAACATTGAGGCTGAGCAATAATGTGAAATTGTATACCTACTCACCAAAGGCGCAGCTGCTGCAAGAAAATCGCACAGACGGACTACAAACAGAGGCACAACTCTGTGGCCCAGATGATTCACAGGAACTTATGTCACAAGTACCACCTGCCAGCAGTAAAGAATTGGTGAGATCATAAACCCACAAAGGTCAAAAGTCCCAAAAAACTGTGGGACTTTCAAATCCAGACTAAAAAAAGTTTTGGAACACAATACACCAGACATCACAATTGTGGAAAAGAAAAAATTTTGGATTATTGATGTTGCCAAAAGATCTCAGCTGGCATTTGGAAACAATAAACATAGACAAAATCACGATCTGTCATCTGCAAAAGGCCACCTTACTTGGATCTGTGCGCATCATTCGAAAATACATCACACAGTTCTAGACTCTTGGAAAGTGTTTTGTGATACGAAATCCAGCATATCGATCTCATTTGCGGTGACTTACTGTGTTTTTGTGTCAGTAAAATAATAATAATGTAATCAGCCTTTAATTATGTCATATTTATTGTGACTTGCTTTCAGTCCCTATATCAGGAGAATGGAGGAATAAAGATAATGTAAACAGGAATAAACATAAAAGATTTCCCTTGACCCACTTCTATTTTAGGATGCTGAAACTGCACATATGCAATGATATAAGTCTCTATAGGTTACGTGCCCATTCACAGCTCAGAACTGAGAACAGTCTTGATGTGACAGGTGCTGAAGTGGGACGATGAAATGGAAGAGGTTTCTGGTGAGAATTCTCCATCAAATGATGGAGTCAAGAACTGGCATTGTCAATTCCAATGTGGTCAGACTTTGGTGGAAACATCTGCAATTCCAGGGTGACCCCACTCTGCTCTTGATCGACACACCATCCAGCAAGTGGAGGTCACCATTTTGGAAAATCGCCGTGTAACCATTCGCCCCTTAACCCAAAATGTCAAGATGAGCGTGGGGTCTGTGGAAAAAACTACCCAAGACCATCTTCACCTGCATAAGGTATCCTCTCACTGGGTCCCCTGGCTGCTCACACCTTTCCAGAAGCAGGAACGAGTCAAGTGCTCTCAGGCTCTCTTGACAATGATGTGCTATGGAAACCAGGAGGACTCTTTCAACAGACTGGGTGAAAGCTGGGTCCATCACTTTGAACTTGAGACTAAAGTCCAGTCAATGCAATGGAAGCATCATGACTCACCGCCTCCAAAGAAGGCATGTGCCCAACTCTCAGCAGGCAAGGTCATGCTCACAGTATTTTGGGACCAGCACGGAGTAGTAGTGATTGGTTTCCTAGCAAAGGGCACCATGATCACTGGGGTAGACTAGGCTTTACAGCTGCGGAATTTGTGGGAGGCCACAAAAGCAAGAGACGATTTGGCATGCTCACCAAAGGTGTCCTCCTTCTGCAAGACAACACACCAGTTCCCAACTCCTCTGTTGCCCAAATGGAAGAAGCATGCTCCTCTGGCTTTGGAATTCTCCCGCATCCCCCTTCTTCATTCGACCTTGCACCATCGTACTTCCACCTCTTTCCAACAAGAAAGTTATTTCTGAAGGGCAAGCATTTCTCAGGTGATAAGACTCTGATTTCCGAAGTCACAACATGGCTTTTGGAGCAACCTGCCGACTTCTACAAGTGAGGTGTTGACAGTTTCTTAAAAAGAGGGGAGAAGTGTGTGTCCCTGGCTGGCACCGATGGAGAGGAGTACTCAGAACTGGACCAAGGTTCATTACTCTCAGTCCACAGGAAGGGGATCTGGGAAAATCTTTCATGAATGCCCCTTGTATAAGGATGATGTGAGGATTTTTGTTATGCCCGCTTTTACCCAGGCTGGCTGGGGATGCTGGGACATGCAATGCATCGCATAGAGGGTCAAATAGGTCTTTCTTCTTTGCACTATATGTAAGCAATGCTCCCTTTAATGTGTACGTTTCATGTTCCTTCATCTTGAAATCTAAGCCCTTTGCAGTCAGATTGTCTCTGAGCATCTCCTTTTTCTTGTTTTTCTCTTTTGCAGGACTCTGATCAATGCACAGTTCAGCGAAATCAAAGAAGCTTCCTTTGCTCACCTCCCGTTCCTGCAGTTTCTGTACGTCTGGAAAAATGGTGATGTCCCCAATTGACTCCTGTTTTGTCCTGGTTGGAAAAGGCTTTGCCAAATGAGTTCTACCTTTTGAAACAGGAGCTGGATTGCCATCTGTCAGGGCTGCTTTGATGGTGCTTTTTCTGCATGAAGGCAGAAGGGCGGGGGTTGGACTGCATGGCCTTTAGAGATCCCTTCCAACTCTAGGATTCTGTGATTCCAGGGTTTTTGGATTACAACTCCCAGCATTCTGGCAATTTGGATTTTTTTTGTCGTGTCAGGAGCGACTTGAGAAACTGCAAGTCGCTTCTGGTGTGAGAGAATTGGCCGTCTGCAAGGACGTTGCCCAGGGTACGCCTGGATGATTTGATGTTTTTATCATCCTTGTGGGAGGTTTCTCTCATGTGCCCGCATGAGGAGCTAGAGCTGATAGAGGGAGCTCATCCGCCTCTCCCCGGATTCAAACCTGCGACCTGCTGGCATAGGGGTTTAACCCACTGAACCACTGGGGCTCCTGGCAATTTGGATGATGGGGTGTGTAATCTCTCTCTAGCTCCAGGAAGCATCAGAGCCGCACTACAGAGCACTCCCTGGAACTAAAGCCCTCCCCAAAATACAAATCCCAGGGCATCGTGGAAGTGACGTTGCATTGCTTTGGACACGAATATTTTCAATCTGCTTTTACGGATTTTAACTGTGATTTTGAAAAATACCATTGAGGTTTAATTCTGTTTTAACAATATAATAATACCATAATAATAATATCCACTGATATGTTTTCCACCTTGGCCCTAACTGATCCATCCCTGTGAGTCTCCCATCTCCAATCCTTTCTCTGTTTTCCTTTGCAGGTTGCTGAACTCCAACAAATTTGCCATGATCCGGGACAATGCCTTTGTGGGGCTGTCGCACCTGCAATACCTGTACGATGCATTTTTTTTGGGGGGGGGGGACACCACTATGAGTGCCAATGGGAGAATAGCTGGTGGATAGAGACTCTATTTGTAATAGCTATAGAAATATTAGCTAATAGTATCTGAGATAACACGAATTGGATAGGTTATAAAATAGAGAAGGAAGGAATAGAGAAGGAAGAGATAATATTAAATCGCTTTGCAGATGATGCTGTTATTATTACAAGTCAACCATTATCTATCGTAGTGTTTCTCTACCTTCCTAATGCCACGACCCCTTAATACAGTTCCTCGTGTTGTGGTGACCCCCAACCACAACATTATTTTCGTTGCTACTTCATAACTGTCATTTTGCTACTATAGTGAATCGTAATGTAAATATCTGATAACCAGGAACTGAAAATGTTTCGAATTTTGTTACATAGTGTTAGTGCTCAAAAATAAAAATCCCATTCTTCCTCCTCAGGTTCATTGAGAACAATGAAATCCAGGCCTTGTCGAAAGGCACCTTTCGTGGGCTCAAATCGCTGACGCACCTGTGAGTCATAAGAACAGGAACCCTAATAATAATAATAATAATAATATAATAATAATAATAATAGGAAGTGTCCTTACCTACTTTACTTACTTAGGTGATCCCTCGTAGCTTGAGGATGATGGTCTTCCAGATGTGGTGTCTTGGTAGTGGGTCCATAGGTGGCTATGGAGCCCTATTCTTGATCTGCCTGTTTTCCACAGTGAGGACATCGGTCTCCAGGTGGAAGGCGATACCAGTCAGGATTGGCTTGACGCGCTGTCTTCCTCTTGGCATGTTTCTCCCTTTTGCCCTCCATTCATGCCTCTTCAAATTCTGCAGCACTGCTGGTCACAGCTGACCTCCAGTTAGAGCGCTCAAGAGCCAGGGCTTCCCATTTCTTGGTGTCTATGCCACCATTTTTAAGGTTGGGTTGTTGTAGTTCCAACAGACCTCACTACTTCTGAGGATACTTGCCATAGATGCAGGCGAAACGTCAGGAGCGAATGCCTCTAGAACATGGCCATATAGCCCGAAAAAACCTACAACAACCCAGTGATTCCAGCCATGAAAGCCTTCGACAATACGTTTATAAGGTTGGCTTTAAGACCATCTTTCGATTTATTTTCCTGTCCAACAACATTCTGTTTCTTGTTTTTGAGTTCAGAGTAGAGTAACTGTATCCAGCGTGTGATCAAATACAAAAGCCAGCATAGTCATCTTGTTTGCTGTGTACTAATCTTGTTATGTAATCTAAACAACAACAAAAACAAAAACAAGAAATATGTCAAAGTATGTATGTTGATCTGTTGATACCACCCTCTGTGATGTCACTGGATTAGCTGTTGCATGTGGGGAAGGAAGGAAAGAAGGAAAGAGATGAAAAGGAAAAGAAGGGAAGGGAAGGGAGGGGGAAAGAAAAATAAGAGAAGAAAGTGGAGGGAAGGAAAGATAGGAAGGGAAGAAGGAAGAAAGAGAAAGAAAAGAAGAGAATGGGAAGGAAGGAAGGAAGGAAGGAAGGAAGGAAGGAAGGAAGGAAGGAAGGAAGGAAAGGAGAAAAAGGAAGAAATAAAAAGGGGGAGAACTATGAGGGGAGGGGAGGAAAGATGGGAAGGGAAAGGAAGAGAAGGAAGGAAGAGAAAGGAAGAAGAGAAGGGAAGGAAGGGAAGGAAGGAAGGAAGAGAGGAAGGAAGGAGGAAGGAAGGAGGAAGGAAGGAAGGAAGGAAAGGAAGGGAAGGAAGGAGGGAAGGGAGGAAAAGAAAGGAAGGAAAAGGGAAAACTGTGAGGGAAGGGAAGGAAAGACAGGAAGAGAAAGGAAGGAAGGAAGCCGAGGAAAAAGAAAAGGGAGTGAAGGAAAAGGGGAAAAACTATGAGAGGAGGGAAGGAAAGATGGGAAGGCAAGAAGGAATGGAAGAAGGAAGGAAGAGAATGGAAAGGAAAGAAGGAAAGAAAGAAAAGGAAAAGAAGGGAAGGAAAGGGAGGGCAGAAATAAAAAGGAGGGAAGAAAGAGAAAAGGAAGGTGGAAAACTATGAAGGGAGAGAAGGAAAGATGGGAAGGCAAAGGAAAGAAAGAAGGGAAAGGAAGGAGGGAAGTCAAAGAAAAAGGGAGGGAGGGAGGTGTATGAAGAAAAGGGAAGGAAGGAAGGAAGGAAGGAAGGAAGGAGAAAAAAAGAAAAAGGAGAGAAGGAAAAGGGGGAAAACTATGAGGGGAGGGAAGGAAAGACAGGAAGGGAAAGGAGGGAAGGAAGGTGAGGAAAAAAAGGAGGGAAGGAGAAAAACTATGAGAGGAGGGAAGGAAAGATGGGAAGGGAAGAAGGAATGGAAGAAGAAAGAGAATGGAAAGGAAAGAAGGAAAGAGAGAAAAGGAAAAGAAGGGAAGGGAAGGAAAGGAAGGGGGAAATAAAAAGGAGGGAAGAAAGAGAAAAGGAAGGTGGAAAACTATGAAGGGAGAGGAGGAAAGACGGAAAGGCAAAGGAAAGAAAGAAGGGAAAGGAAGGAAGTCAAAGAAAAAGGGAGGGAGGGAGGTGTATGAAGAAAAGGGAAGGAAGGAGGGAAGAAAGGAAGGAAGGAAGGAAGGAAGGAAGGAAGGAAGGAAGGAAGGAAGGAAGGAGAGGGGAAGTGTATGAGGGAAAAGGAGGAAGGAAGGAAAGCTCCAACAAGAAAGCCTGTCCACAAAATGCTCTTTCTTCCTGGTAAAAAAGCACTCCTTTCAAAACCTCAAATGCAAAAGAAAGAGAAGACAGTTGTTTGTCGCAACATCTGGAACATTCACCTTGGAGGGCTTTATGGGTGCAGATGTGCACCTTTCCCTAACATCTAACATTTCTTTCTGATTGTGTTCCAGGTCTTTGGCCAACAACAACCTGCAGACGTTGCCGAGGGATCTCTTGAAGCCCTTGGAAATCCTCAGCGACTTGTAAGCTTTCTTATTTCTTCATTGAAGAGGATGACTGTGATTTGCTTTATTTTCCACTGATATAGGGACTCCTCAAGGTGCATCGATACTGTAGAACAGGCATGGGTAAACGTTGGCCCGCCAGGTGTTTTGGACTTTAACTCCCACAATTCCTAACAGCTTAATGGTTGTTACACTATGTAACAAAATGTGAAAAATGTTCTGTTCCTGGCTTGAAAGTGTTATTTCCTATTTAACTGTGCTGTCCTTGCTTTGAAAGGAGTTGTTCAACTCCAGAAACTTTGTTTTTGTGAGCACATGTCTCCCAATCCCTGCCAATGTCCTTCCCAAACACCATACTGCTCAACACTCAAGAAATGCTTTCATTCAGGGACCATTTCATCCTAGATGTTCTGTTTTTCCTCCAGAATTGACATCCCAGGGTTCCTTTCTCTCTCCAAATTTGCATGACCCCGCCCACTGCCTCTCACTTAACCCTTTCCTACCCGTTTCTATAGCACACAGAGAATAGGAATTGATCAGTAACAACTGAACATGCTGCAATGGTTTGTGGGAATGGATATTGATTTTGGGAGTTGTAGTTCATCTGCATCCAGCAATACTGTGACCCCCACCGACAATGGACTGGGACCGCACTTGGCACACAGAGCCCTCATGACCAGTGAAAAAATACTGGAGATCTTTGGAGAAAATTCCCCTTAATTTGGGGGAGTTGTAGTTCACATACATCCAGAGAACACAATGAACCCAAATATGAATGGATCTGGAACAAACTTGGCACACAGACCTGATATGCCAAAAATTGATAACTGGAAGGGTTTGGGATGGGAGGGGTGAACTGATCTTCTTTTCTGGGAGTTGTAGTTCACCTACAACCAGAGAAAAGTGATCTCCACTTATGATGGACCTGGACCAAACTTGGCACACGGAACCCCCATGACTAACTCAACCTACTGGTGGGGTTGGAGGAGACTGACTCCTCATAGTGGGAGATGTAGTTTACCCTGCAGCCAGAGAGCAGACCAAACCCCATTGATGATGCATCTAGAGCAAAGTCACCCAATATAACAAACTTTAAATACTGATCGGGTTTTTCAGGGTTAACCAGAGTTGTTTGCAGTTCACCCACAACCTTATGCATTTTGGACAATTTAAAAATTGACTTTTTCAAATAACCCGGGCAACACTGGGTAGTTGAGCTAGTATGTAATAATAATAATAATAATATCTCTTTGTTGAGTCTCAACCAGTTCAACATAGTTTGTGGCAGCCACAAAAACAAAGTTCCTGGAGTAGAACAACAACTTTCTCATAATACTACTAATAATAATAATAACAATAATAACAATAATCTTTATTTATACCCCGCCACCATCTCTCCGAAGGGGACTCGGGGCAGCTAACATGAGGCCAAGCCCAAAATTACAGTATAGCAAAATAAAATACAAGAAGCAAAAATACCATCAAAATAAACACATGAAATAAGAAAATAAAATAGTTTCAAAATAACATGATAGAGAAATAGAACACAGTGGGCGGGCCAAATGTACTAGGAATAAAATTGATAAAATTGATGAAACCCTGGATGAGATATGTAGAATATGTTTCTGAGGGAGGAACACAAAAGGAACGGAACAGTAGAGTTAGGCCTTCATTAAGGGCGGCGGGGGGGGGGGGGGAAGTGCCTCATGAGGACGGAGCAGTAGTTGTAACTACATACTGGGGAATATATTCACTTGCCGAATGACTCTGTGTTTCCTGCCTCCCACAGAGACCTGCGTGGCAATGCCCTGACCTGTGACTGCAACATCAAGTGGCTGGTGGAGTGGATGGAGAGCACTAACACCAGTGTCCCGGCCCTCTTCTGCGGTGGGCCCCCTCGGTATCAAGGCCAGAAGATCCGGGAGCTGCCCCTCAAGGACTTCGATTGTGTCACTACTGGTCAGGAAGGCTACTATTGGCAAAAACCCCTTGCAAATGGGATTGTAAACTGGGAGGCGGGAGGAGGAAGCAGTGCAGGGTGACTCAAAGGATCAAGGGTCTGGAGAACAAGCCCCATGAGGAGCAGGTTCAAGAGCTGGGCATGTTTAGCCTGCAGAAGAGAAGACTGAGAGCAGACATGAGGAGAGCCAGGGATAAGTAGGTGAAGGGAAATCATAGGGAGGAGGGAGCAGGCTTGTTTTCTGCTGTCCTGGAGGCTAGGAAATGGAACAATGGCTTTGAACTACAGGAAAGAAAGGAGATTCTACCTGAACATGAGGAAGAACTTCCTGACTGTGAGAGCTGTTCAGCAGTGGAACTCTCTGCCCTGGAGTGTGGTGGAGGCTCCTTCTTTGGAGGCTTTTAAGCAGAGGCTGGATGGTCATCTCTCAGGGGTGTTTTAAATGTTATTTCCCTGCTTTTTGGAAGAATGGAGTTGGAGTGGATGGCCCATGAGGTCTCTTCCAAAACTAGGATTCTAGGATTCTCACACCTGAGTTTCCTTTGTTTATCTTTCAGTCTCTTGAAACACCTGATTTGTCTCTGTTTCACACTATCTCTTCTGATCTGTAAATGCTGGGTTATCTGTAACCATCCTGTCTCCTCCAACTCTAGGATTCTGTGATTCTTATATGGCACATTTCTTGCTGCTGTTGTCCAAATTGTAATATGTAGGTTGTTTTTCAAGCTAAAACTTGTGGACTCCATCAATTCTGGCCTGATGTTATTTTTCCTTCATAAGCAAGGTGCATTTTGTTTGCTTCTTTAACTTAAAGACTCATTGTCTTTGACCATGTAAACATGTTGTTTTCCACCCAAGAGTTAATCATTGTCTTGAGTCATGTCAGCAGTTCAGCAGTTTAGCCCTTTATGAACCATTTTTTCTTATTTACTTTATTTGTATACCATCCTGTCTCCTCCAACTCCAGGATTCTATGATTCCTATATGGCACATTTCTTGCTGCTGTTGTCCAAATTGTAATATGTAGGTTGTTTTTCCAGCCAAAACTTGTGGACTCCATCAATTCTGGGCTGATGTTAATTTTCCTTCTTAAGCAAGGTGCATTGTGTTTGCTTCTTAACTTAAAGACTCATTGTCTTTGACCATGTAAACATGTTGTTTTCCACCCAAGAGTTAATCATTCTCTCGAGTCATGTCAGCAGTTCAGTTTGGCCCTTTATGAATTCTTCACCTCCTTTTCTAGTTTTCCAGACCTCAATTTTAAGATGGTGTTTTCAACCTTTGCCAGGCTCCATTCATACATACATTCAACCCACACATCGTATTGATCACAAAGGGGCTCTCCAAGGTTCTTAGACCAGATGCAGCATCATGTGCTTAAAGCTCTTTGGGAGAGCTCAGTCGTCAGCCATTTGGGCAATGATCTCAACTTGTCTGAGTGCACTATGTCTCTCTCTAACTCTTTCCGGCCTAGATTTCGTGGTGCACCAGGTGCTACCGTTCCAATCGGTGTCTGCAGAGCCCTTTCTCTACGCCAGTGACCTCTATGTGGCCTTGGCCCAGCCCAGCTCCAGCAGCTGCGCCATCCTCAAGTGGGACTACGTTGAACGCAAGTTCCGGGATTTTGACCGCATCCCCGGTAAGGACCTGCCATCCAGTACAGGCCGTCCCCCAGTTACAAACATCTGACTTACAAACAAACCACAGAGGTGTTAACCTGTGCCATCCAAAGGTTATCTACTTATTTCTCCATCTATCTGTATATTTGCTTGGAGCTACATTTAAGAAATGTCTCTGTTCTGACTAACAATTAAATTCAACTTTAAGAACAACCTACACAACCTCTCTTGTTCGTAACTTGGGGCCTTCCTGTCTCACAGAAAGAAGGGGGCTGGGCTGGATGGTCTTTGTGGGTCCCTTTCAAACCTATGATATTATATCTGTCTCAGATAGATTGATCGATTGATAGGTAGGTAGGTGGATAGCCCTCTGAGTTCCTCAATGAAGGAGATGATGGGATATATAAAAAAGTCAATAAATGAATAGCTAGATGGGGAACAACCAATCTGTATAAATAAAAATGTAAACGTCTGTTTGTGAGTGACCTCATAACTCAAACAATACTTTACTTATTGCTTCAAAATTTGGACACATTGCAGCAATCGAACAGATGAAGGTTTTGAAGTTATCAAAACCCAACTACAATACAGATGTCACACCTGAGACAGGTAAAAACATGTCCTGTTTCAAAACAGCGCCATCTGCTGGTCGCCCAGGCAACTGCTGAAGTTCTAAACCTTACATCTCCTGTGCTCGGCATTGCCCCCTTTCCCTCCCTCCGTGCTTGCTCGTTGGCTGGAGGGGAATGCTGCTGCCTTACCCACTGATTGGCACTCTCTGTAAGTGGCAGTTGCCATGCTGATGGGAAGGAAAGGAGGAGGAGGGCAGTGATGCCAAAGGCCTTTTGTAAGGAACTCAATGGAGAAGGTTGAGGAGGCGGTCTGCGAGGCTGTGGTGAGAGAGGGGCCTTGGGAAGGCTGGGGGAGGCAGACCAGGCAAGAAGACACCAATAAAGCCCTCCAGGTAGATGGCCAGCCAGCCATAGATAGGATGGAAACACACCCACACACCACAGGTATCATACATCTGGAGGAGACTCCCAAGACGACCCAGTCCAACCCTCTTCTAACATGCAAGAAGATACCATTAAAGCCCTCCATACAGATGACCAGGCAGCCATAGACATGATAAACTCTATATATATGTATGTATGTGTATATATATATATATATATATATATATATATATATATATCTCGATTTCTACATCTGCACAGACAATAGAACAACAAAAATTATTGTATACCCTCAAGCATTACAAAATTACATATATTAGAAACAAGCTCTTTCTCTTTTCTTTCTTTCCCATTTCACCACACAGGGACACAGCAACACGTGGCCGAGTTCAGCTAGTGTGATAATAATAAGTTAGATACTGCCCTAAATGGTGTTGTTGGTCTTGACTTGAGTAGATCTGTTGAACCAAGATTTATCTCCATGTTGACTAATCACTGAACAATTGAATGGGTCTACTCCAGTTGGTATAAACCAACATGATGATGTTGATGATGTCAACAACAACATGTTGCTGTTGATGAGAATGAGGATGATAATAACATAAATACTGCCCCAAATCCTGCTGTTAGTCTTGACCTGAGTGGACACATTGAATCAAAAATATTTCCCTACAGGTTAACTGATGATTGAACAATGTGATGATGATGATGATGATGATGATGATGATAAAGATGCTGCCCTAATTCCTGTTGTTGTTCTTGACTTGAGTAGACCTATTGAATTCAGGAGATTTATCTCCATGTTGATTGGCCATTGAGTAATGAAATGGTCTACTCTAGTTGGGACCAACCAATGTGAAAATAATAATATAAACACTGCCCTAAATCTTGTTGGTCTTGACTTGAGTAGACTAGTTGACGCAATGTTGACTGATCATTGAATGACTGAATGGGTCTACCAACATGACAGCAAATATATCTGTTAGATATAATTGGAGTGCAGTTCCCAGCAGTCTTGCCGATGGTGAGGGATGATGGGAAATGCAGTTCACAAGCATCTTGAGAATGTCATGATTTCTGACTTGAGTAGACTAGTTGATCCAATGTTGACTGATCATTGAACGATTGAATGGGTCTACTCTAGCTGGAATGAACTAACAGGACAGCAACCACTGTTAGATATAACTGAAGTGCAGTTCCCAACAGTCTTGCCAGTGGTGAGGGATGTTGGGGAGTGTAGTTCACAAGCATCGGGAGAACTCCATGATTTCCATTCCTATGTTAGCCCTGTAGGGCCAATAATGTTGGGTCTTTCCCCTCCTACACTGATGCCTCTGTCTTTCCCCTCCAGCCCATTCGGCCGTCTACTGCAAGCCCATCGTGGCTGAATCCCAACTCTATGTGGTGGTGGCCCAACTCTTTGGGGGTTCCTACATCTACCGCTGGGACACCAACATAGACAAATTCATCAAGATCCAGGATATCGACAGCCAGAAGATTCGCAAGCCCAATGACATTGAGGCCTTCCAGATCGAGGGCGAGTGGTTCTTCGTCATTGCTGACAGCTCCAAGGCTGGCTCCACCAGCCTCTACCGCTGGAACCAGAATGGCTTCTACCCACACCAGGATTTGCACTCGTGGCACCGGGACACAGATGTGGAGTATGTGGAGGTGGAGGGCAAGCCCCGGCTGATCATCTCCAGCAGCTCCCAGGCCCCCATCATCTACCAGTGGAACCGGGCCCAGAAGCAGTTTGTCCACCTTGGTGATGTGTCAGATGTGATGGATGTCCAGATGGTCAAGCACTTCCGGGTGAAGCGGGACAACTACCTGTGCCTCAGCCGCTACATTGGGGACTCCAAGGTGGTCAAGTGGGAGGGGCAGCGCTTCACGGAGGTGCAGACCCTTCCCTCCCGGGGATCCATGGTAATGGAGCCATTCCGAATAGCCCAGCGCCAGTACATGGCCCTGGGCAGTGACTTCTCCTTCACCCACATCTACCTCTGGGAAGAAGAGAAGCAGAAGTTCTCCAAGTTCCAGGAGCTCTCCGTCCAAGCGCCACGCGCTTTCCGCCCTGTGCCCTTGGAGGACATGAATGTCCTGCTGGCCCCCAGCTTCAAGGGCAACACCTTGGTCTACAAGCACATCGTGGTGGACCTCAGCTTGTAGACTGGGGAGAATGTAGTCCTTCCTCACCCACCACCACAGCTGCACTCCTCGTTCTTCCACGGAGGTGTCCTCCTGCCTAAGCACTGTAATTGCTTGGAGCAAAGCTGCTTACTCACTGTCCTGCCTGAATCCCTTCACCTCTACACTAGGGATGGACTCAATGATGGGGCATCGGATGCCCAACACCCAACAAAACCGGCCACCTGATGCCCAGTACTTAATAATGGGGCACCTAATGCCTACACTCAGCAATGATGGGGTACTCAATGTTTGACACCCATCAACCATGGGGCACCTAATGCCTGCCAACCAATAGTGACACTTAATGGCCAACACACCACAATGATGGGCGACCTAATGCCCAATACCCAACAGTGATTGCACACTTAATGCCCAACACCCAACAATAATGGGTCACCTAATGCCCAACCCTCAATGACAACAGGGTGCCTAATGCCCAACACCCAACAATGATGGGAAATCCAATGCCCAACACCCAACAATGATGGGGAACCTAATGCCTGACACCCAAAAATGATAGGGAACCCAATGCCTGACACCCAACAACAACAACAAGGTGCCTAATGCCCAAGATCTAACAATTATGGAGAACACAATGCCAAGACCTAACAATGATAGGTTACCTAATGCCAATACCCAACAATGATGGGGAATCCAATACCCAACACCCAACAATGATGGGTTACCTAATGTCCAATACTCAACAAGAGCTGTTGTTGTTGCTGTTGCTGTTGCTGTTGTTGTTATGATGTCTATTTATATCCTGCTTTTTCTCTCCATAAGGAGTCAAAGCGGCTAACATTTTTAAAAATTACAATACAATTTAAAATATACAAATATACAATATTAAAACAATATGATGGGGAACCCAATGCCCAAGATCCAACAATGACCGGCTACTTAATGCTCGACACCCAAAAATGATTGGGCCCCAATGCTGACACTCAGCAATGATGGGTCACACCTAATACCCAACACTCAACAATAACAGGCCACCTAATGCCCAAGGCCCAACAGTAATGGAACACTTTAATGCCTAAGACACATCAACAATGGGGCACCTAATGCCCAAGATCCAACAAAGATGGGTCATCAAATGCCAATATCCAACAATAATGGGTCACCCAGTGCCCAAGACCCATCAACAATGGGGCACCTAATGCCCAAGATCCAACAATGATGGGTCATCAAATGCCAATATCCAACAATGGGTCACCCAGTGCTCAAAACCCATCAACAATGGGGCACCTAATGCCCAACACACAACAATGATGGTTCACACCTAATATCCAACATTCAACAATAGCAGGGCGCCTAATCCCCAAGACCCAACAGTACTGGAACACTTTAATGCCCATGACCCATCAAGAATGGGGCACCTAATGCCCAACACTCAACAATAATGGGTCACACCTAATACCCAACACTCAACAATAGCAGGGTGCTTAATGCCCAAAACTCAACAGTAAGGAAACACTTTAATGCCCATGACCCATCAACAATGGGGCAACTAATAACCAAGATCCAACAATGATGGGTCACCGAATGTTGATACCTAACAATGATGGGTCAGCCTATGCCCAATGAGACACCTAATGCCTGACACCCAACAATGATGGGGAACCCAATGCCCAAGACCCATCAACAATGGGGCATCTAATGCCCAACACCCAACAATGATGGGAACTCAATGCCTAAGACCCAACAGTAAAGGAACACTTTAATGCCCAAGACCCATCAACAATGGGTCCCCTAATGCCCAAGATGCTGGGAAATGAGGAACTTGCAAACCTTCAAGAAAAGAGGTTTAGGACCTGACTATATGGATTCAGCTCCATCTCAGCTGACCCCAGAGTCTCTGGGTACTAATGCCCAACACCCCAAAAGGATGGGCACCTGATCCCAACATGCACCAGCATTCCTCTCTATGAAAGGGACCCATGATGCCCTTCCTCTCCCTGTTGGCTTGGCTGTTTTTGCAACACCTGCTCGACGCCCCTATATTTGTGCAATGCGGACTGCGTTTTCTGGACCGAACATCATGCCCAAATTTGGAACTCCGGCGAGCCAAAACAAACTTGGATAAGTTACCTTTTCCCAAACTTGATGGTTGAGGAGTTTTTGGAAATACTTAACATTTCCAAAACCTCTGCTGAGATTTTGTTGGCCAGTTTGGACACCTGTTTTGGAGACGATAGCTTGGCACTTATTTTGGAAAGGGACACTTTTCGTCCTCTCGCTTTCACAGGGAATCGACACAAGACCACTGCGATGAAATGTCTTCTCCGCACCGACATCCTCTGTGTTTCATTTCAAACCTTCACAAAAACTAATTTTGGGAGACCTTTTCCAGGCACTGCCGTTTCCAAGGATCACCTTTTGATTTACTCTAAATGTTTTTTCACTGACATCAACACATTATCAAAATAACCACTCAGTGGTATTTCAATAAAGAAGGGTAATGCATTCCTCTCTGTGTGTGCACATCAAACATGGTTTATATACTCAATCTTCTCCCCAATTCAATGACTAAGTACATGGCTGCAGACCTATGACCTTATTATAGGTTTGTACCCATTTACCTAGTTTTTGGGATTTTTTTTTGGTTGTATCAGGAGCGACTTGAGAAACTGCAAGTCGCTTCTGGTGTGAGAGAATTGGCCGTCTGCAAGGACGTTGCCCAGGGGACGCCCAGATGATTTGATGTTTTTATCATTCTTGTGGGAGGCTTCTCTCATGTCCCTGCATGAGGAGCTGGAGATGATACAGGGAGCTCATCCGCCTCTCCCTGGATTTGAACCTGCGACCTGACGGTCTTCAGTCCTGCTGGCACAGGGGTTTAACCCACTGCACCACTATTTACCTAGTCAATGAGTAGGATTAAGTCCCATTGAACTCAGTAAAGTTTAATTTTCAGAAAACGCACGCAGGATTGCAAAAGTAGCAACATAGGTTGCTGTAAGTTTTTTCGGGCTATATAGCCATGTTCTAGAAGCATTCTCTCCTGACGTTTCGCCTGCATCTATGGCAAGCATCCTCAAAGGTAGTGAGGTCTGTTGGAGCTAGGAAAAAGGGTTTATATATCTGTGGAATGACCAGGGTGGGACAAAGGATTCCTGTCTGTTGGAGCTAGGTGTGAATATAAACCCATTTTCCTAACTCCAACAGACCTCACTACCTCTGAGGATGCTTGCCATAGATGCAGGTGAAAATTCAGGAGAGGATGCCTCTAGAACATGGCCATATAGCCCGAAAAAACTTACAGCAACCTAGTGATTCTGGCCATGAAAGCCTTCGACAATACAGCAACATATCTTTAGTCTTAGCACTGCACGTGACCCCCAGAGGCTATGTAGTCTGAACCCAATGCCATGCAGTGAAAATACCCTTGAAAGATGTCCATCCAACCTTCAGAAAAGGCTATTCCATTACCCTCAGAGGCAATCCACTTTCAATAGAGTTGGAAGGGGATTCCAGAGGCCATCTAGTTCAACCCCTTTGCCAGAAAAAAAATACACCATTGCAGCACTCCAGAAAGTTGCCCATGCAATCTCTTTTAAAAGAACTCCATAGAAGGAGCATCGATCCCTCTCTATGGTAGTCAATTCCATTAGAGTAGGAGGTGACCCTCAAAGGCCATCTAGTCCAGCCCTATTCTGCCATGCTGCATATCCAGCTAAAGCATTCCAATTTATTTAGCGTGTCAGAAGCGAACAAAGGGTACAGTTGTAATGTATTTAAAAATACAAACAAAATTTTAAAACTTGGCATTATACTAAATGTCCCTTGACCAGTAGCTGGCCACTTGGAGTGCCTCTGGTGTCACGGTGAGAAGGTCCTCCATTGTGCATGTGACAGGGCTCACACTGCATTGAAATAGGTGGTCTGTAGTTTGCTCGTCTCTGCACTCACATGTTGTGGACTCCACTTTGTAGGCCCATTTCTTAAGGTTGGCTCTGCATCTCATGGTGCCAGAGCGCAGCCTGTTCAGCACCTTCCAAGTCACCCAGGAGGGAGTCTCTCATTCAATATCAGCCATGGTTTGAAGTTCCAGGTTTTAGCCTGCCACTTTTGGACTCTTGCTTGCTGAGGTGTTCCTGTGAGTATCTTTGTAGATCTAAGAAAACTATTTCTTGATTTAAGGTGTTGGCATGCTGGCTGATATCCAAACAGAGGATGAGCTGGAGATGTCACTGCCTTGGTCCTTTCATTATTGGCTGCTACTTCCCAGCGGATGTCAGGTGGTGCAATACCGCCTAAATAGTATAATTTCTCCAGTGGTGTAGGGTGCAGACACCCTGTGATAATGCAGCATGTCTCATTAAGAGCCACATCCACTGTTTTAATGTGGTGAGATGTATTCCCCACTGGGCATGTGTACATACTCAGCAGCAGAGTAGCAAAGTGCAAGGGCAGGTGTCTTCACTGTGTCTGGTTGTGATCCCCAGGTTGTGCCAGTCAGTTTTTGTACAGTATTATTTCTAGCACCCACTTTTTTTTGCTTTATATTCAAGTAGTGCTTCTTGTAAATCAGAGCACGGTCCAGGGTAACTCCTAGGTATTTGGGTGTGCTGCAATGTTCCAGTGGGATTCCTACCCAGGTAATCCTCAGAGCTTGAAATGCTTGTCTGGTCTTCAAGCGAAAAGCACATGTCTGTGTTTTGGATGGACTAGAAATCAAATTGTTTTCACTGTAATAGGCAGTAAGAGCACCTGAAGCTTCAGAGAGCTTTTGTTCGACCGTTTCAAAGCTCCCTGCTTGAGCAATGATGACTCAATCGTCAGCATAGATGAAACTCTCTGTCCCTTCTGGCAGTGGCCAATCATTTGTGTAAATGTCACACATGGATAGAGCAAGCATGCTCCCCTGAGGCAGTTTCGCCATCTGCTTCTCTGGCTCTGGAACTCAGCAAAAAAGCTCCTGTTTTGTATCAGATTTCCTATGAAGCAGGTAAGGTGATTATCCCTTGTGATATTATATTTTTTTCTCAGGAGAAGGAGATGATTTACAGTGTCATAAGCTGCTAACGGCGCTCCATGCAGTCATGCCGGCCACATGACCTTGGAGGTGTCTACGGACAACGCTGTCTCTTTGGCTTAGAAATGGAGATGAGCACCACATCCCAGAGTCAGACATGACTGGACTTAATGTCAGGGGACTACCTTTACCTTACCTAAGCTGCTGACAGATCTATGTAATCTGCTGCCTTTCAAAACCATCTTCCATGTGCTGAGTCAGGTTCAGCACTTGTGATGTGCAGCTTTTGCCTTTCCTGAAACCAGCTTGCTGTGGAATCATACATGAGTCTATTCTTTCCATAATTCTATGCAGAATAAGTCAGCATTCCTGAAAGATGCCCGTACAACCTCTGTTGAAAGCAGAAGAGTCCACTGTCCTCCAAATCAGTCTATTTCATTCCTGCCATTGCTATGAGGTGTAACATTCAGGTAGTAATGGAAGGGGCAAAACACACAATTAGAAGCATATGTTCAAGTGCCTTGCACCTCCCATGAGTATGTGACGTCTTGCAGCAGTGGCCATTGGTGGCTGCTATTGAGGTGGAGCAATGCGCCTCTTTCAAGGACCTTATGACACACACCACAGAAAACACCTATTAAGTAGCAGCGCTTGGTTTAAGAAAACTAGATGATGATGGGATACACACTGGATACAAACCAATTGCAAAAAAAGAATTTTGCTGACTCTTAGGAGACGCCACCAAGAAGCTGTGAGATTTTGCACCAATAGCTTTTTTTGGATTTTCACATCCTGAAGTTATCTATATCTATATATCTATATTTATATATACATACAAATACATACAAACATATACACACATATACATATATACATACATATACTGTATTCACATATATATACACATACACATACACATATATGTACACATACAGACATATGCACATATGCGTGCATTTATATATGTACATATACACATATACAGATACATATATACAGATACACACACACATACATAAATATATATACACACATATGCCTATATACATATATATATATATATACACACATACACACATATACACATATACATACATACATGTTGTGTAGTCATATATATATATACACATACACACATATATATGTACACATACAGACATACGTACATATACATGTGTGTATATATGTACATATACACATATACAGATACACATATACAGATACATACACACATACATACACATAAATAAATAAATATACACATATATACACACATGCCTATATACACACATATATACATACATATATATACACATACACACATACATACATATACAGATACATATATACATATGTATATATACACATATACATACATAAATATGTACACACACACACCTATATGCACACGTATATGAATATATATATACATACACACATAAAACATATATATTTACACACAAACATGTATACATACATATATGCACATACATATATACATATGTATACTGTATACACATATATAAATATAAACACACATAATATATAAATATATACACACATACATATATGCACACATATATGAATATACATACATACGCACATACATATATATTTACAAACATATATGTATACATACATTTATACACATACATATATCTACACATATATACACTTACAAAGATACAAACATATGTGTGTGTGTGTATATATATATATATATATATATATAGAGAGAGAGAGAGAGAGAGAGAGAGAGAGATGCACACACACATACGTGTATGCACACAGGTACATAGCTCATGGGCCATAATGAGGAGCATGAGATCCAGTTCTCAGGATATGCAGTAGCCCCAAGTGTCCTTAAGAGGGCGCCAGATCCATTCTTGGTGAAGAACTTGGCAAAATGACTGAAGAAGGGAACTCCTTGTGATGCTTGCAAACAGGATGGAAGAAGGCTTCTTGAATTGTAAAGCAAGACCTGATTAAATACCTTAAAAGTACCGGATCCCACCTGAGCTTGGAGGATAAGCAGCAGGGTCAGCCCTGGTCAGGACTTGGATGGGAGACCGAGAATGAATAGGCTCTCTTTTGGAGGAAGAAGGTGGCAAAACCACCTCTTGAGGATTCCATGTCCATCCAAACTTTATTTATAATACATATATGTTATATATTATATGAAATGAATTTAACCTACGCTTTGCGTGAAACCAAATGACTGTGTCATGAAAGGAGACAAGTTTGGAAAGTTTGCAAAGCTCTGCTTTAAGACCTTGTGGAACTACAATTCCCACCGAGCCGTTGGCAGTAATAGTGGTGCCAAAGTGTATTAATTCCGCCGTGTACCCACCCCTCGTTGTGCAGCCAAACAGATAGAGACGAAGAAATGAAGACACAACAAAGTGGGAGGTCTTTTAAGGTTGGTTCCAAAAATGGATCGGATGCGCAATGTTAGGGATGTTCTTTCCGTGCCACAGAAATAGCAAAGCAGTCA